AGTCATCTCCAGTCTGGAGCAAAACCTCCTCTGGGCTTTGGGCCGAGGCTTTTTAACCGAGTTATTAATGACCAAACCGAAAGCCTTTGCTTCATTTAATTCTTAGGGTTTTCTTAAAAGAGATAGGGTTCAACCTATAAAGTTAATTGAAGACGTGGCTCCACTTTATCTGTGCTGTTTCTGTGGTCCCAGGCTACCAAAGAGCCTGCGTTTTAAGCTTTAAGGGCATCTGTTTTCACACCCCAGGAGACTCTACCTGCACGCTCTTGGTTTCAGCATAAATCAGACTACCTTGAATTACAGCAGCAGTTTGAAGACCCGTCCTTTCCCACCTCCTGCCAACAGCCTTATCTCAGTCATTAGTGATTCCTAACAAGTTTCCAGGCTCAGGCGTAGATCAGCTTTAATGTGACAACCTCCACGAATTCCCATCAGGAACCGGTCGTGCCTGTGTGTCCTCCAGGCCAACTGACTGTCGTACACACCACGTGCATCCCGCCGGCAGCTCTCCGCCGTCTCCTGCCCAGGATCTCACTCCCCACCTTGCAGGGAGGTCCGTGCTGCAGCAAGCCCCTTCATTTTTGATGCTAAATGAGCTAAAAGTCACCTCCTCTAGGGCATTAAGAGCTCAGGATCCCCACCAAGAAAGCTGCTGTGCCAGCTCTCGCAACTGAACCCTGGCTTTGGAAATGGAGCAAGTCTAGAGCGACACAAAGCCCAAGATTAGCAATTTTCAGAGCAGAAAGCAGCGTATGTTTACCCACCCTGGCATTTCTCCAACTATATTAAAGCTTAGGGCTCATCTACGCAGAAGCTGTGTCGCAGGAGAACAGCCCCTAAAGACGAATACTGTGGCACCGTGGTGAAAGGGTGTTCCTGTCAAAAGTCTTTATCCCCATAAATCCAAATTGCATTAGTGTAATTACATTCTGTGTGAGAAGCATTAACTCCAATGGAAACAGTTGTAGCAGTAAAAAAAAAAAAACTCTACAGAGCTGCCTTCCACTCCCATAGCTGTTGCATGAACACATCTTTGGCAGCAGCAGCAGTTTCCTGCAACCCACTGTGAATTATTACATACTTTGTTATCCTTTAACTTTTGTAAAACAATGCATAGTTGCTCAGGCTAAGGGGCACCAGAGTAAATTATTAAATAAGATGTTGGTGGAATGGAAATCCCACCCCATTCTACCTGCGCCCTTGGGCACCAGATATAGAAAAATACCCTCATTTTTGATGAAACACGCGAGGGTTTTTAATTGTGAAAACCCCCTCACGGTCTCCACGTGATCAGTCTTGGCTACCCAACCCCACGCCATGCCCACGTTTGATCTTCACCAGCAGAGGATTAGCCGCATTCTGGAAAAAATGGGTGCAAAAAATAAAAAGCACTCCTTTTAAATGGGTGTTATTTCTACGGGTGCCATTGCATGGATGCTTTTTAACGAGTTTCACAGCCAAAAGGGCACCCAAACAGTGACCCTGAAAAAAAAGTTCACACGTCCACACATTTGCTCAGCTTTGAAACACAATCCTCGCTCCGCAGCTGTCTCACAACCACCTCCAGAAAGTCACGCTGAAAATACTAACCCTGTTTTTAAAAGGATCCATACATCAGAAGCGATGCGGAGACTAATCCACAAATATATATAAACTAACTCACGGAAGAATAAAGGACGAAATCAAGAGTCCAGCCCACTTGGTAGGAAATTCTACATGTCTGAATGCTACTGAGACCACCCTCCCGTAAGACGCTGTGCTCAGCCTTCTGAAGAGCAAGGGCACATCATTATTTGGGTTTGCTGGGTCAATTATTACCCCTACACGACCAGAAATTCACACCTTTTTACCCCGGACCTGGGCATAATATGTCTTGGGATAATGGAAAAATAAGAGAGCAGGTTCCTATTTTCATCCATACCCTGATATCTAATGGAAGGAGCCTCCACAAATCTGAATCCAAGTTCTTATCAGAGACTGCATTCACCGATTCTACCAATTATATATTAAATAAATAATAAGTATATTTTTAAAAATATGGTAAATACAGTGCATCAGCATTCAATGGTTTTCTTTATTGCTAGAACTTCAGTGGGATTATTTTATGTGCAAAATTCAGAGCTATGGAAATATGTCGATGTTCCGATCAAAATCTTTCTAACTTCAAGCGCAGCGACTCTGAAATCCGAGCTCACGCATGAATAACAGGGTTTGGGCACATCCACCTTTACACAAAACACAGGACCTGAAGGCAAAAAAGGAGCTGCTACGCTTCTATTCCTCCCCTTCTCCTAGTCTATTCAGCAGAGATGATAACATTTCAGAACAAATGTTTCACCCTCATGTGCTCGCCCTTCCAGGCATTTCTTTTCTTAAATAACACCAAGTTTAACAAAACATGACTTACAGAATTTTAAACATACTCCACAGGTAGCTTTTGAAATTTAATAGGTAGCAATTACTGGCAAAAGCTCCCTAGTGGAAGAGAAGTTCTCCTTTAATGTTTCACAGAACAGGAACATTCCCCGGAACGTTGCTGTGGGGATTTTGCAGGAAGAAAAAAGGCTACAGAAGCTCACCCTGCATATTCAGCAGAGCCGCACGGTTACTGAAGCAGCAGTGCTCCCGCAGCTCTCAAGTTGCTGGGAACACCGGGAGGACACACCGTACGCTCACCAGCATCACCAGAGCAGATATGGTCCTACAGCATCAAGAATTATTAGCAGCAGTCGTTCCTACATTGGGATATTATAAACTGTTCCAGTCCCTCCAAGTTTTCTCACTTCCCCTTAAATTCATTGAGTCACACACAGCAAAACTGAGTTTGGTTTTTTCTTTTTTTTTTTTTTTTTTTTACAGATGAAATCCTTAAATAATCATCTTCTCACGGTGCAGAAAGCAGCATCTACTTACACCGAGTGACTCAAGGGCACCGTCGCGCTCTGCTGTCGCATCCCTGTGTGTTGGTGAAGGTATTTCCCTGCTTTCCCGGATTTATCCACAGAACTAGAGGCAGCCCCAGAATAACATCAGTTTGCTTTATCTGGACCCGCAGTTGCTCTCGACTCAAGAAATCAATAGGCCTAATTAACCAGGTTGGGCCAATGAACGTCTCAGGAGTTACATCAAGAAAGCAATCCGGTTTACTCACCTCATTTTCTTCTTCTCTATTGCAATCCAGCCCAGAAAACATGCAAAAGAAAACATAAAAAGAAGGTGTAAACATCAGGCAGAAGCAAGAAATGTAACGTCAGAAGTCTGGCGCTGCAAACGGGAGGGAGGCAGGGAACAGAGTGAGGGTAACAACAACCCTCCAAATATTCCTGCTGCAGGAGACGGCCCTCCCGGCGTCCCCCAAGGCTGCAGCAGACACGGCATAGTTTGGAAGCTCAAGAATTTCCACACTGAAAATGCTGCACGGACTTTTGACAGAGCAAACCTTTTTTTTCTGAGCAAACTGCTGGCTTGGTGTTGTTGGTTTGCAAACCCTCAGAAGACAAGAACCTTATCTCAACAGACACCGCAGAGGTAATGCAGATATTAAAAAAAAAAAAAATCTCAAAAATTGAGATGTAGGAAGCTAAATTTTGTTTTCTTTCAATTTTAGTATTTTCCTTTCCAGCCCAGAAACAGTGAAAAGTATCTGCCTCTCTCATCAACAGAAATTCAAGATACTTATGAACGCCTTACTGCTGTATGACCTGCCACAGATCTGCAGCCCTGGCTATTTGCCATCATGCTTAGACTTAATTAATCACTACTTTGACAGCTAGCCACTCAACGATTAATTAATTTGAAGCACTACCTTGATCCCAACCAAATCTGGCAATGCTGAGCCAACGGGAAAGCCCAACTTTTCTTTGCTTCCCTCAGTTCTTCACTCAGATACCACGAGCGAAGTCGTTTCTCCTGCAAGGAAAGAGGACGAACAGGAACACGACTCCTCTCTCCTTGCTTTGCTCAATACCTGGGAGAGCTTCAGCGAGTTTCTCGGCCCCCAAAGAAAAACTCCAGAAGCAGATGTAAAAATTTCAGCGGTTACTGACACGCCTGAACCAAGATGTCAACAGCCCATCCGTCTTTACCCGTTATTTCCTCTACTGGAAGTCCAAAAGCCCTCTCCGGTGCTCTAACCTTTACACTTGCCTGTGGACAGCCTTTTCCCTGTCTGCCTTAGAGACAAGTAACTTTTGCTAAATTTTATCAGCTTTTGAGCCGTAATTCAGCGCTGTCGTGGTGACGCGGCGAAAGACTTCTTGCAGGAAAGGTTCACGGATTTCACTTCGAGCCTCAGCTAATCGAGAAGTATCAGTTTCTGGAAAAGAAAGCCAAAGCTCTCAGTTTCTGTGTAACTCGGGCAGTGACGGCACGGCAACAACCACCTATTTCCCCATTTAAACCACCATCAACAGAGAATTAGGAGCAACCCGCTAGAAAGACCTCTCACCAGCAGTAAGATATGCCTGCCTCTACGAAGGCGCACGTCCAATTGATAAAGCTTATTTTAAGGCTATAAATTATTCTCAGAGCAGCAAGAACAGGGTTTGTTTCCATTGAGGAAACACGAGCCGCGAGTTTAAGCGAGCTGTGGAGTACGCAAGGGCACGTATGTGATTTAATGGGGTTAAGCAAGCCATGAATTCAACAGACCGCTGATGCAGAGGAGGTCAGAAGCCCCCGAAGAACAGCACTTCGACACAAATTAGTGCCTAAAAGGAGGTTCCGTTTTTAGGATCACATGAAGTGGAGTTTTAGTCTTCCAGGACACCAACGTTGCTGACAGACAGTCACCTATTTTGAGTGTTAAACACGAGCGTTTACACCAAAGGGGTGAGAACAGCACCAAGGTCCAGTGGAGCCAACACCCAACAAGACCCAACACAAACACTGGACTCGATGATCTTAAGGGTCTTTTCCAACCTAAATGATTCTACGAAGATTTTCAAGACATCCATAATCAGATGTGTTGTGATACAGCACAGCATAACAACCGACAGATGAAGGCTGGCGGTCCTACACCAAAAAAAAAAAAAAAAGAAATAACGGCCTCTTTACACATAAGAACACAGATTTAAGTAGCTATATACTGGGAGACAGGTAATGAAGTTTAGTATTTATAATTAATATCCTGCTGTAAGAGTAAAGTAAGTAATCCCTCTTATCCAATTTTGCTCTTGTTGCTGAAACGCTGCACAAACCCAGTATTAAGCTAAAATGCTGGCAAGAGCACAAAGCAGAGGTCTCCAAAAACTAAAAGCTAAGCCCTTTCTCCCAAGAGGGCACGCCTACAAAAGAGCAGGAATCGGGGCGTTATTCGGGGCCGGCTCTAAGCTCGTGTCCTGCTCAAACCTTGCAGCCACAGCAGCAGATTTCCCGGACAAGATGCCGGGTTGGTCGAGCAGCCTCAGCATCTGCCACCTCGAAACGGCCGCTCCGCGAAGGTCGGACGGCGGAGCGTCAGCTCCCGCACGGAGGGGGCCAAAGCAGGCCAGAAAACTGCAATAGAGGGAAAAAAGCTAGTTGAGATCCTTCAAAACCCAGAGAAAAATCTTGCAGGGGAAAGCGAGCCACATTAGGAAACGGACGATCTTGCCGCTCTAAAGCCACGTGGTAGAGACCTGTCTGCCCTTGGAGGGGGGGGAAATTGCTAAAATTTGAGCAGCTTAAAGGGTGGCAGGTGAGAAATCGAAATATTAGAAGATGGAAAACAGTTAAGAAGGGACCAAACAGAAGATGATGTTGCATGAATTTAACCGGTTGTTTAAAATGCAATATGTAAGCACGGAGCAGATATGACATTACTGGCAATGTATCTTGGATCCTCTTAGTTGCCTATATGAGCCATTTAATTTCTACTGGGCAGAGAAATATTTCTTCTCAGAAAGGCAACAGTAGTATTCCCCCTCTGCCAGCCAGTTATGCCCAAGTGCTTTTCCCTCCTGAATTATCCGTTGGCAGCAGAAACTCATCCCACCTTGCCGCGGGTGCCCTCGCACAGGTTAACCTTAATAAAGGAGGTAGCCGCCTCGGGTTATGGATCCCATTTCCATTTACAGCCTCTCCCTTCTCCCCAGATCAAAAGAAAAAAAAAAAAAAAATATAAATAGACTTCCCAAATTAGTGAACGCGTTGCTCTTCGCTCGAAAACCTATTGCCAAATTCCTCCCACACTGGGTTTGAAGTTACATAAAATCCCCACGTTACAAGCCTGAGGAAGGAGCTGGCACGCAGGAGACCCGGCACAACAAGAGCGTACGCGAGCTGGGGATCCATCCAAACACACAACCTGTAGGTTTTCCAGCAGGTTTCCAGCCCCAGAGGTTTAGAGCAATCCCACTTGTTTCCCTCCAGCTGCACCTTGCTATCTGCAGGTACATAAAAGGAAGACTGTTATTAAAATCAGCACTGGATTCAGGCACTTAGTGGCTCGTTTCTGTGAATGTCAAGGGGAAGGGCTTGTTAAAACCCAAAATAAAACTCAAAGCAAAACTGAAGACTTCTACAAATAAGTAGTTGATAAATTTTAAAAATAAATAAATAAATTTTAAAAAAAAAAAAAAAAACAAACAACAGGGAACTGTACCATCTTTTGTTTGTCTACAGCAGCCCTATGTATTAATAGTTTTTAAAAAAAAAAAATCAGTCTGCCCCTAAAATAAAATTTAAAGAACACTTTTGCCCGTCTGCCAGTTAGATTTGATTAACTAGTGACAAACATCAGTCAGGTGGGAGCACGATGTGGTGGCACACACCTTGCAAATGCACCCAACAGAAACCTTGGTGGCAAGTAAAGCCCACGTCCCCACGCCGCACTGAGGAGTTTGTATTTGCAGAAAAGGCTTTTTAAGGCTACGGACCCACATTTCTACCAAAACTCCTTACATTTAAAATCTATCAATGGCCTTAAATAGCATTCTTTTCCCACGTTTTTAGTTCTTCAGCTTTCTCACTCACGGAAACGTCCCGGGTTTGTTAATGGGCATGTTAATAAAAAATAAGGTTGTATTTTAATTCTGAGGTTCAGCAGCTCCAGCCTTTCTTAAACACTTAAAACAGCTTGACATGAATGAGCCTTCTCTCCTTTTTAAAATGTAATCCACATTGTAATCTGAACTATACTCAGGCTTTGCTTATGCTAAAAAAGCAAACAAAAAAAAAAAAAATGCCTTCAGGCTTCTGAAGTCTAAACTACAAATGCTGGTCTGCATGAAGACAAAACTTAAAGAGCTTCACCTCCCACATGTCCTCTGCTTTTTTTTTTTAGCTTTTCATTTTCTTAAGAGAGAAAAATCTGGAAGCCTAAAGCTCTTCTTATCTGAACATCTGCAAGACTAACAACCCTGCAAACCTAAAAAGCCCGGTCCCCAGCAGGCACCCGGCTCACCTTGCTTTAAGCAAGGATGGGGCATTGTGCAGGCATTAGCACAGGTCCATCTGAAAGCCCACCTGCTCCAGCAATTACCTTTTCTTTCTGCAGGAAGGAACTAAAATGCAGAACCTCAGCCCTCCAACCGGAGGAAATCCCAACCTCCGGGCTGTTTTGCTCAGGCTGGGTTAGCCAGCAATGTCCTGCCAGCGTGGGGACGCAGCTGGACATCACAGCTGCCCGTGGGGTCCCCCCCCCCCCTCCAGCACCTACCCGCCACGACCTTCCTCCACTCCAAAGCTTAGCAAACCAGGAGGAAATAACAAAGACCTCGGGTGGAAACTTGGAGTTTCAGCAAGATCCTCAAGCCAAAAAGGAAATCTCCAGGCAGATTTTCCCCCGCCGCCTGGCCGGTGAGCGAGGGCTGCACCCACGGCTCCCACGGCTGTAGATGGTCGCTGGCTGCTGCTCTCGTTCAGCTCCTGCCACCCTCAAAACCAAATCAGTTGGTAAAACCCTTACAGGCCTGAAGTGCTGTCCCCTGCTTGGTTTATTGGTCTGTAATGTGGCCAGCTACAGATAAAAAACGACAAAATGTGCGGCGGTGCCCCATGATTAACGCAAATACGGTGCTAAATTGCTGTGAAGCCTTTTGTACAGAGCACTGGGCTTTTAATAGTCCCTGCTCCCAAAAATACTGCACCACAACCAGATAATGTACAACCAGAAAAAAAAAAAAAAAAAAAAACAGGGAAGTTAATAGACAATCCTGCGCCTTCCCCCCCAAAAAAAAGCCACAGACAGTGGAAAGGCTAAAGCACACCCAGGACGGGGAGGGGGGGGGGGGGGGGGGAGGGAAAAAAAAAAAAAAAATCACTAACAGTATCAAACATCTTATTTAAACAGAAGCTTGAAACCGAGCCAAGCTCTCCAGAAAAGGAGGTCAAGGCAGCTGTAAGCATATACCTGTCCCTGCAGCACATCCCCCAGATTCAGCTCTCCCATCCTCTCCTTTCCTAAATCAGCGTTTCCTGGTTTATACAACATTTTCTCTGGGTTTGGCGTTGTAAGTTTGGGGCAGGGGAAGAGACACCATTTCTCCTGTGCTGAAACATGAAAGAACAGAGAGGATTGAACACACCAGGAAAACAAGTAGCTGAATAGATTGAAAATAAATATTTCTTCTTTCCTTTACAAAAATGGTAAGGGCTGAGTGGCATCCTGCATAGTCACAAGCGTGCCAGAAAGGGATTTTTCTTGTAACATAGATTATGGATTACTGGTGTATCGAGTCACCTGTAATCATCAGTGAACGCTCCCTCCTAATACAGCCCCCTGAAATGAACTTTATAACTCAAGAAAAACCCCGGACACAAATCATTTCAACAGCAGGCATGAGGAAGATTAAGAAACTCAACTGCTGTAGCTTCCACTTCAGCCCAGGGTCCCATTTCTCATCGGGCTGGAGGAGAGCCACCGAGAAGATTCAAGAGGCATCACAACACAATATGGAAAACTTACAGCACTATAAAGTTTTACTATGAGCATTTACACTGCGTTCTCCACAGCTGGGGAAAATATAGGCTAAAAAAAAAAAAAAAAAAAAAGAAAATCCTGAGCTAAAAAATGCCTGATTTTTGCCAACTGATAGTGCCCAAGCGCTGGGTCCGGTGGAGCCCGTGAGCCTGTGCAGACCCTTCCCGGCACAGATCCACCCGACAGCAACCAAACCCTAAAGATAAGGGAAAGAAAGAAAGGAGGAAAAGGCTCATTTTTGAAAACAGGTTGCTTTTTGCTGCTGCTCCTCTTGCAAAGGAAAGTGGGTCAGAGAAAACAGACATTGGCAGGAGCATGTGAAAAGCCACAGGTTGAGGTTTGGGGGGGTTTTTTGGTCAAAGCATTTCCTAACTATCTGTGTGTTAATAATACTAGCATTTCAGAGAAGCTAGGATCTTCTGCTTCAGGAAAAAGACCGAGTCAAGAAGAAAACAATTTCCAGTGGTCACCAGACTTGTGCTCCGGTAAAAGCATCCGAAGGACCCTGCTCCTTCCCCAGAACTGCCCCGGGAATTCTCAAACTCACCACCACGCACGGGGCTCCCGCTCTCCCCTTTCTGCTCCGTGCCAGGGCACGGCTAAAGGAGAAATCAAGTTGGAAATCGTGAGAGCAATCATCACAAGCAATGCAGTTCCCATGGCAGCCGGGCAAGGGATTTACCGACAGAGCACCGACAAAGCGAGGGAAAGGACGAGGACAGGCCGGGGGGGGTGGGCACGACACAGAAGAGCGACGGAGCCAGAAAGAGACAGCACAAATCCACAGCTTAACTCAAAACCACGGCTTCTGGCTCAGTACCGGTGCTTGGAAAGCTGCCTCCTCATCCCGAAGCAGGGAGAGAGAGATTTCAGCAGCAGCTTTTAGAGTTAGCATCCTCCCATCAACAAAATTTGAACGGGATCACTTTTCAGGTAATCTCTGCCTCAGAAACCATCTCCCTCTTGACAGGATCAGGCACAAACAGCAACAAAAGGCAATGTTTCACATATTCAAGTTACTCTTAAATTACATTTTCCCTACCTGATGCAATTAACTCTTAAAACGCGTGCACACCTGAGCCATCTGTGCGTCCAGGTTGCCCCGGGGGAAGGATGAGGCCGGATCTAACAAAAATGCAGTTTCATCACCTCCGATTTATCACCTCCAGGACGCAAGCAGAGGAAGGCTGCAGGATGGTTTGACATCCCTCTCTCCCCGTGGGGCACCACGGGTGGGATGGACAGACAGGAGTTGCACAAAGAAACCCCCAAAAACCACATTAAACCCAACAGGCCACGGCAGCTTTGCAAAGCGGGCATCGGCGCGCGCCACGGCTCGCCACGTGCGAGGCAAGGGCATGACTTTACTCACCATTTGCACCCCCTCACTGAACAATCTCTAACAGTTCAAGAAGCTGAAATTAAAACCTCCTTCCTACAGCCAGGGTTAGGCCGGGCTTAAAAGCTCCAGGCCGGTTCCTAGCCCTGCAACAAAGCATGTGCAACCTTGAGCAAGTCACTAAGGTTGTTAAACCCACTCCCTTTTTTTTTTTTTTTTTTTTTAATCTGTCACCCCCTCCTACCTTTATTTATTTCCACGTTCTTCAGGCCACAGATATTTATTTCTCTATACACTGTTTGCACCGGCGAGGCCGTGCCGCCGGTTTAAGCGGAGGCACCACCACGACACATCCACACAACAAGGCATTTCTCCCACTCACAAAACCACTTTTAGGACTAAACTTGTGTTACACATCCCAGCTGACCCCCCACCTCGCACCCTGGGGATACCAGCCCTGCAAGCCCCAAACCACCTGCCATCAAGGGAAGCAGCAAATACCTTCCACCGCTCTGCTGAAGATTTACAGTAAATACCCTCTGAGTTCATTAGCAAAAGGAGAGAGAGCAAGTGCCAGCCTTCTGCAAAATTCCCTCTCGCGTACGGCATCTGCCGTCGTAACCCGGCGGGGATGGTCACATTTCTGAGCTCGGAGGGAAAAGGAATTAGTGGAATTAGTAGAAAGAAACAGTTTGGTTTTTAATTTTGCTCAAATCCCATCCCACGCAATCACCGGGCTGCACAAGAAAAAGTTCAGCGTGTGCTGAACTAAACCGTTCTAATTAAGTTAAAAGATGTTCAGTACCAGGGAAATAATTTCAGGGTTTAAATCCTGCTGAAAAACAAGTGGCTACACCCGGCTTCCAACCAATACCAGCACAAGTTACACCAACACATCTCTAAAGCATTCCTCCGCAGTGATGGGGGAAGCAGAGGAAGGCAATGAACCTGAAAAAGCATACTGAATTTTTAAAAAATAAGAAGAATCAGAAATATCTAAGCTGACTTACGGTCATTACTACCGGCGACCGGCACAGGGCATCACTCTCGGCAGAGAGACCAGCAGACTCTGAGGCTTCATCTGACCTGAGCAATGGCTCTGGGTAATTAGGTCTGGGTGCTAAAAAAGGGAAGAAAATCCCCCCAGAGCGGAAAGGGAATGCCCCTCCCTCGGAGGGCAGGCACAAGGCGGGAAAGGACTCGCTCCCCAGGGCTGAGCTGGACCTCTGGGCAACCCCCCCCCCCCCCCCCCCCCCCCCCCCGGGCCACACCGCAGCTTCTCCTCCTGGACTGGGTAAAACCAGGGGGGTTTCTACCCCTCCTTCACCCCCCCAGCCCACCCCTGGGCCCATCAGCAGGAGCAGAACCTTCCGCAGGTATCACCATCCCCGCCTCACCTGCAGGGGGGAGCAAATTCCTAAGCCCATCTTATCAAGGCATCATCATGCCTGCATGACAAATACCCACCCTGGCACTCCAGGTCCTCTTTTGTCTCCTCAAATGCCTTGCAAATAAATATTCCTCTTTGGTTTTTTTTTGGGGGGGGGGGGGGGGGAGGGTTGGGCTTGCAGAAGTCTACCTGCATCAGGAGCAGCCTACCCGTAGTGGTGATGGAGAGAGGGACCTGAAGAGCCTGGTGTCACCGGGTGAGGTGGCAACAACTGCGCTGGCCGTGCTGGGACGCAGTCGGACGCGTGCCACCTGCACGTCACGGGTCACCTTCGTGGTCCCCAGCACCCCCCCCCTCCTCCCCGAAACAGCAAACAGGCAGGAGCGGTCCTGTCCCCTGCATCCCGAGCAGGAGAAGTTCTCAAGAGGTGCATCCCTACAAGCTTCCCGCGGAGGTAAAAGCATTAAATTTTAGTGCGTTTTCTCACCTTGAGTCATCACAGCAAGGTTATAATTCACAGACACACATATGACACCGAACGCTTCCGTAAGTCACCACGCCGGAGTCCGCGTTCACAAAATGCCCCAAACTCCCCCCCAAACTCCCCCAAGGTTCAACAAGAAGATGCTTCCCAACAATCGGGTGTCCCTAAATTCAGACTTCGAAGGGTAGAAACTGCAACTCGCACCGTGCGCCCTGAAAAACTTTGTTGTCTCAGTGCTGTAAAATAAAGTGCTGCAACGCCCCGGCCAAGCTTAAGGTTTAATATAAAATCCTTAACGTATTTATTTCTTACGCAATTATAGATGAAGTTTAATCCTCTATTACAAAACCTGCCCGGCAGGTTAAGTCAGCAGTGGGAGACATCTTGGGAGCCGCTCTCAATTCAAGAAAATAAACCCAAGCTCCCTGCAACACCAAGTCCTGGAGAATCGGGTGCTTTAAATCAAACTCTTTTAGTGAGATTAAACCCAGTCTAACGCGGCAAGAAGAAATGAGAGCTAACGAGTGAAAACCTGCACCCTGCTATCGCTCCGCAACATCGCGGCTGGTTGCTGTGGCAATGCTAAACATAAGGTGATACCAGGCAGGGAAATTACTTCAGGAGTAGATAAATTCAACTCCTTTCATCCACCTTTACACCAGAAATTTGCAATAAAAGCGCAAGCTGGGAAGGCGCTGCGCGAGCAAACTCCAAGCACCAGGCTCCAGAGTTTCTGCCGTTGGGCTTCAACGCTACACAGAAGGCTGCAAACGTTAAAAATAATTGTTTTCTGCTAACTCAGAAGGACACGTTTTTTATTTCTAGCTGCAAAACCTCCGCTGTTGCATTTGAAATAGGAAGGCAATAGTGCGATTACAACGTGATGCTGTGGAAGCTGTAAAATCTTTGAGCGATGGTGGGTAAAGCCAGCGGGAATCCGTGTTTGGTCCTGAAAATCAGAGCTTCACATCGAGTATTCCCCAGGCTCCAGCTCCTTCTCCAGACCCAGCCTGATGCCTCTTCCTCCCGCATCAATTATTTCGGGTCAAATTTTGATTCCTGGCCCTCATTTCTCTTGAATTTCAGGTCTTGCTCCACGTCAGCCCCTGGGCTCTCGGGGAGATGCTCTGGGGGGATGGCAGTCGCTGGGACGGAGCCTGAAAGGCTGAAGCTCGCTGGAGAGGGCCAGCTGCAGGGATGGAACATTTTTATGGAAGTTTACCAAAAAAAAAAAAAATAGTGGGAAAAGGCAGGGAAAAAAGTCAGGAAGACAAATAATCTTTTTCAGCGAGTGTCCTACCAAACCTACAAAAACCAGAGGCTTTTTCTCAACGAATCCTACGAGTTCTGGCAACGAAAAATGAAAACCAAGCGCAGCCCAGGATGCTGTGAAAGGGAAAGAGCATCGCTGCTCCTGATGGCCCCGCCTGCGGGGTTAGGGGGGCCCCAGCCTTTCGGCTCCTCAGCGCTTCCCACGGCGCCGAGGAAGCGGCACCAAACTTTTGCACGGCTCCATCAGCACGCCACGGCTTGGCTCGTTAATACATCTAAACAATCATCTAAATAATAAAATGCAGCCAGTCTATTAACTGGGACAAAGGTCAAAAACATACGGCGAACACATTCATTTTTATGTTTTTCTGTGTCTAGTCAAAATTGGTGTTTATAAATCCTCCCTGTCTAAATATACACACAAACAAATTATATTTAGAATTACGTCAACAGATCTCTAACACAGGACATCAAAGGAAGGCTGTCACCTATCCCCTTTAAGCCCACTTTGAGCCACTGCAAGGCAAATATTAAATTGCAGAGGGAAAATTCGAAACAATTAAGACAAGAGAACCATCTGAAAGCCTTCTCCTTTCAAAAAGCAGGGATTTCTCCGTCTCTTTTCCAAGAGATCAACGAACCCTGGTATTTAGGAGAGCTGAGTTTATATATTAACTGCTCTTGCATATTAAGTGCGGAGTGTGTAATTATCTGTTCACGTGTCCAGGTGACTAAAGGTACATGGAGTGACTTGGAACTCAAAATACATTGCCTGGGTAGCCTACAGCTGCTGAATTTCCTCATTTTTGAGAAACCCAACTGCTCAAGCACACCCTCCCAGGCAGGCATCCCGAGGCTGCCGCTTTCCCTCTTCTGTTCACACACATCATTCCATCTTTAATTACTCCACCATGGAGGAGGATCACCGATCCACAGACCTCAAACCTTGAAAACCAAAGGAGAAAAGCATTCCCAGCATGCTCACGCACAGCCAGCTCCTCAAAAATGCACCGTTTTCCTATTTATAGGCATTGCACTTGGCAGAAACCGCAGGGACCTCAACTGCTCAAAGCCAAAACGTGGGCCTATTTTTCTTTTCCTCCCGTTTTTAATTCCCCCCCTGAAGCCAACCACTGCAGATCTACCCTGCCTTTGCTGCACACCGCGTTTCTGGATCACAAGCAGACGGAAAAGGAGGAACGACAGAGGGGTGGGTGGAAGCTGCACAAGAATCCGGGGTGGAAGGACAAGCCAAGAGGTCCTCCTTCTTCAAAACCCAACAATGATAAGAAGACAGAAAGTTGGGTGCCAAAAACCAGGGAGAAGACTCCACCAAGAGCAAAGCTACACACCTCAGGCTTTGTTTTTAAGAGAACTGGGCAACGGTACCAAAAATGCACCGGGGGTGGAGCAGGAAAAAGGCAAGAGAAGAGCAGAACGGGCAGCACTGCACGGCGTCCACATCTCCTTCCCGGAGATACCCAACCCGGAGATAAACGACCTCATTTAATTCAGCTCCACTGCAAGCAACCAGCCCCAGAAAGTGCAGGTCCAGCTGGGAATTCTCCTAAGACGACATCAAAAATAATAAACCCAAGTGAGAAAATCGTCTGACAACCTCCTGGCTGGCCAGGTGAGCTGGCGACGGTCTCCTCCCACGACCGAGACAAATTTGGACGTATAAAGAGAATTTTCTTTAAATAAACTGACTTTTCAGAGACTTTAAGGCTTGAGTGCAGAGCTGAAAAACCCCCAGGTACATGCAGGCAGCGAGGGCCAAGTTTCTCCCTTACTACTCTTGATTCCACACCCCATGGGACCATCATTAGTCTCCCTAATAAAGGGGAGGAGCGTTCAAAGGGAAATGCAGGTGTAAAACCGAGCCTTTCCCTTCCATTAGCGTCTCCCCCATGGATTAGAATATACTCAAGGACCCAAATTTGGGTATTTAACCACAGCACATTTGCCAGGAGCTTCTGCCTTGTGCTGAGGGCACCGATGTTACCCATCGCTTCCCCTAGAGAAAAGCAGAAAATAAAATCCAGATGCCTACAGGAAGCAAAAAAAAAAAAAAACAAGTCCCAAAGTGACACGAACACTGAACAGCCCCCGGGTCTCTACAGCTGCAACGCGCGTTAAAAAAAAACCCTCCCAGTAACAGCCACAACCGAAAACCTAAAGTTTTAGATTGTTTGAATCCACATCAGGTCACGTTAACAAAATCAACGGGGTGTTCAAATGCACTGGGCCCTAAACCCCCGAACCCACCAAACCACCCATGAGCACCACCAAGCCCCACCAGCATCACCAGCCTGGGGGAGGAGCGGCACGGTAGGAAGACCATCTTCCCCCAAAACGGAAGCAAAATTCAAGTTGGGGAGGTCTACCTGCGGCGAAGCGCAGAAGAACGAGGGGATAAATATATTTCAAGCGCGGGGCGCGCAAGGGAACGTGGCGCAGCACCTTCAGATTCCACCATAACGCGAGACACCAGCTCAAGATATCCCCAGGAGTCTCCACTCGATCCATCTCGGCCCGTGCAATGACCCCACCACCGTGTCACTTGTTTGAGAGGGTCCTCCAGCCTCGGTACCCAGCGGCCAGGGATGATCTCCGTGTCTTCTCGAAGGAACCTCTCGTTTGTCCCGGGTTTGTCTGTACCAGCTGCTTCACTACAGCTCTAGTAACGGCACGAAGAGATGAAGTTTCTTCTGCTCGCAGCCGACAACGCAAACGTTCACCAAGTAGGTCCAGGTCGGGGTCGGGCAGCTCCACGGAGAAGCTGCGGATCTCGTGTAGAGCTCGGCGGCGACTCCGAGCTCGGAGACTCAAGCTGGCCACAATTTTAGCACCCAAAGAGGCGAGGGAAGCTGGTTTGGCTGGACGCTGAAGTTCTCAAGAACCTGGTGAGTGGGACGCAGAGAGCGACCGATCAGGCAAAAGCCAGCCGAAGTTTCTTTGCTAACAGGAAAACTCCGGTAAACGCCACCAGCACGTACTCAAGTCTCCTGTAGTTCAGCTCCTCGACTCAGCATCCCACCTCCTACGGCCTGCACGGAGCTCCATCTCAGCAACAACGATGCCCCATTGCTGGAAGAGTTCAAGATCAGGCTGGACAGGGCCTTTGAGCAACCTCATCTAGCGGCAGACGTCCCTGCCCACGGGTGGGACTGGATGACGGTTCAAGATCCCTTCCAACCCAAACCATTCTGTGAATAATTCCCATGAAAAATAAGGCCGAGCCTGCCGAATTCCCAGGCTCCGACAAATGCCCTCCAGCATCTCGCAGCAGCACGACTCCAACGCTGCAAGCTACGAAACCAACTCTTCCAAAAAACAAACCACGCGCATCCACCTCCATCAAACCCCGCAGCGGGCACAGGACCAGGGGAAGTCACCGTCTCCAGCAGCAGCAAACGTCCTGCAGCCACCACGGTTTGTTTTTAATTGCGCTTTCCACCACGGTGGAAATACCTGACCGGTCCCCAGAACGCACCGTACGATGCGTCTCTAATATCGCGACACGCGAGAGCGAGGAAGGAGATGATGAACCCACGAGGCACCCTCCCGCCTCGGAAGAAAACCATCGCTGAGCTACCGCAAATAATCCCCTTCGCAAGGTAAAAGCCCACGTGCTGGGGTGAGCACGTCCCGCGTCAGACACGGCACCAAGGAAGCGGCGAACACGATTCGGACGCGTAGCGGAACACCCAGCTTCGAGGCAAGCGCGGGGAAGCGAAGCTCCTAAAAACATCTGAACGCCTCCTGACAGCTCTCAGAGTCCCAACCCAGGACGCGCACCCCAAGAAAACCCCGAAGTCAGAGCGATCGGTTAGTATTTCCTTTAAAAAGTCGTCGGAGAAACCGCTCTGGCTTCTTTAAAGAGCCCAGATTTGCAACACTCGAGGCTGTTTCAGACACCGAGCGCGGCAGCGTGATATAACCTGCGCGCTTTTAATCGCCGAGCTCGGTGCGACGCTTGGTTTGACACCAAATGCCACACGCCGCCCCAGCCCCCAGCAACAGGATCCCTCACGCTCTAAAAGACAAAATACCTAAATTAGGCTAAAACTTTCTGGATGGATAGTAGCGTTGTGTGAACCCAGCGTGTCGCTCAGGAAGGGACCGTCGCTCCCCGCTGGGGTTAAGCTCACGAAAATCAGGTGCAGGGTTCGCTCCAGGCTCTCCCAGCCCGGGAGAAAGGCAGGAGCCACTTCTAGCAAAACACAACCTGGGTTCAAAATTAAATCCTCTGTCTCTCACTAATTTTAGAAGGCTTGGCCGCGGGAATCATTTCAGCCGAAACAGATCCTCAGCTGCTTCCAGGCGGGCACAGACAGAACTCGTAGCATTCGCTCAAAAAGGTTTGCTCTGTTGTCCTTGCTCAAAACACGCCATTTTTAGCTTTGCCTCCGATCCAACCATCACACAGAGGTGTGCTACGAGCCAGGTGTCTGCCTCCTTCCACCCTACAGCCGGCTGCACATCGGAGATTCCGCACGCGCAAAGTTTACGAGGCACCCGAATCCTTCGCGAAGGAAGTCTAAAAAATGTAAAAATAGCGTTCAGAACCAAGAAAAAGGGCAGGGAGAGGAGGGGGGGGGGGGGGGGGGAAGACAAACCCCACCGCTAGCAGCAGGAACTGAATGGCTTGCTCAGAAGAAGTGATAAAGCCGGCGGCCCTGACATGATGTCGGGGGGGGGAGGTCTGTGAAAATCCCCAGCGGGGAGGAGAACCAGAGTTCCTCAGCCATTAAGCTGCTCTCCCCCTTTTTTTGCCCAGCTCCTTCCTCCTGTCAGAAAATGGGGTCATGGCACGGGCCGAGCGGGGGCTGCTGCAGGGAGGATTCAAGAAGGAAAAATAAAGACGGGACTAGGTAACTCCTCTGCACACCAGGGAACAAAAAAAAAATAAACAAATAAATAAAAAAGAAAGAAACAAACAAACAAAAATAATAATAATAAAAAAAGGTGCGGAAAAATGGCCCCGCGGGGAGGCCGGGACACGTCCGCACTCACCGCCCGGCCTCCCCGCTCCGGGCCGGGGCCCCGGGCCCCGCCGCTGTCCCCGGGGCAGGGGACGGGAGGGCAGGGACGGGGTGTCCCCGCCGCCACCCCCGCCCGCTCCGCTCCGCATTCCACCCAACCCACCCGGCGCCCGCCTCCCGCCCGCCGGCGCCCGGCCGCGCCGCTCACGCGAGGCCGGGGATGCGCGGCCTACACCCCCCCCCCCCCCCCCCCGCTGCCGCGCCCGGGGAAGGAAGGAGGGAAAGAAGGAAGGAAAGAAGGAGGGAAGGAAGGAAGGAGGGAAGGAAGGAAGGAAGGAAGGGGTAGCGGCGGCCCGCTCCCCCCCCGTCACCCCGCTCCCCGGCCCCGGCGGCTCCCCCGCGGCGCGTCTCGGCCGTGGCCCGGCGAGGCCTTAGGCCGCGGCGGCCGCCCCGCTCTTACTCCGGGGTGGGATGCTCCGGATCGTAGAAGTCCCCCATGGTCGGGCGGCCGCCGGCTAGGGAGGGGAAGGGCCGCGCCGCGCCGCGGGGAACGGCCCCTCTCCGCCCTCCGAGCCCGGCGGGGGGCTCGGCTCCGCCGCCGCCGCCGTCCTCACATCCTCCGGCGGGCCCCGCGCTGCAGCGGCCGCCGGCGGGGCCCCGCCATCCGCGCCCTGCCCCTGCCCCTCCGCCCCGCGACGAGTCCGCCCCGGCCCGCCCGGCTCCTCCTCCTCCTCCTCCTCCTCCTCCTCCTCCTCCTCCTCCTCCCCGCCGCTGCCGGTGCCGCCGGTGCCGCCGGGGCTGCCTTCCCCCCGCCCCGGGCGGGCAGGGCCGGGGGCCGCGCCGGGATCTGCTCGGGGAGCGGGGGCAGCGGGATGGGCCGAGGGATCAGCAGCGGCCCGTGTCCCGGCCCCCCCCTCCCGTGGGGATCGCCCACGGCACAGCGAGATCAACAACCCCCCACACACACACACCCAGGGCGACAGCAGCACCCCGGGAATCCGGGATCGCCAGCACCCCGGGATCACGAGCACCCCGGGATCTGCCATTCCCCGGGGCACCAGCACCCCGGGAATCCGGGATCGCCAGCACCCCGGGATCATCAGCACCCCGGGATCTGCCATACCCTGGGGCACCAGCACCCCAGGAATCTGGGATCACCAGCACCCCGGGATCATGAGCACCCCGGGATCTGCCATACCCCGGGGAACCAGCACCCCGGGATCACCAGCACCCCGGGATCTGCCATTCCCCGGGGCACCAGCACCCCAGGAATCTGGGATCACCAGCACCCCGGGATCATCAGCACCCCGGGATCTGCCATTCCCTGGGACACCAGCACCCCAGGATCACCAGCACCCCGGGATCTGCCATTCCCCGGGGCACCAGCACCCCGGGAATCCGGGATCACCAGCACCCCGGGATCACCAGCACCCCGGGATCTGCCATTCCCCGGGGCACCAGCACCCCGGGAATCCGGGATCACCAGCACCCCGGGATCATCAGCACCCCAGGATCTGCCATACCCCGGGGCACCAGCACCCCGGGATCACCAGCACCCTGGGATCTGCCATACCCCGGGGCACCAGCACCCCGGGAATCCAGGATCGCCAGCACCCCGGGATCACCAGCACCCCGGGATCTGCCATACCCCGGGGAACCAGCACCCCGGGAATCCGGGATCGCCAGCACCCCGGGATCATCAGCACCCCGGGATCTGCCATACCCCGGGGCACCAGCACCCCAGGAATCTGGGATCACCAGCACCCCGGGATCATCAGCACCCCGGGATCTGCCATACCCCGGGGAACCAGCACCCCAGGATCATCAGCACCCCGGGATCTGCCATTCCCCGGGGCACCAGCACCCCGGGAATTTGGGATCACCAGCACCCTGGGATCATCAGCACCCTGGGATCTGCCATACCCCGGGGCACCAGCACCCCCAGAATCCGGGATCACCAGCACCCCAGGATCATCAGCACCCCGGGATCTGCCATTCCCCGGGGCACCAGCACCCCGGGAATCCGGGATCGCCAGCACCCCGGGATCATCAGCACCCCAGGATCTGCCATACCCTGGGGCACCAGCACCCCGGCAATTCGGGATCACCAGCACCCCGGGATCACCAGCACCCCAGGATCTGCCATACCCCGGGGCACCAGCACCCCGGCAATTTGGGATCACCAGCACCCCAGGATCTGCCATTCCCTGGAGCACCACCACCCCGGGAATATCAGCACCCCGGGATCTGCCATACCCCGGGGCACCAGCACCCCGGGAATCCGGGATCGCCAGCACCCTGGGATCATGAGCACCCCGGGATCTGCCATTCCCCGGGGCACCAGCACCCCGGGAATATCAGCACCCCGGGATCTGCCATACCCCGGGGCACCAGCATCCCGGGAATCCGGGATCACCAGCACCCCAGGATCATCAGCACCCCAGGATCTGCCATACCCCGGGGCACCAGCACCCTGGGAATCCGGGATCACCAGCACCCCGGGATCATCAGCACCCCGGGATCTGCCATACCCCGGGGCACCAGCACCCCGGGAATCCGGGATCACCAGCACCCTGGGATCATCAGCACCCCAGGATCTGCCATACCCCGGGGCACCAGCACCCTGGGAATCCGGGATCACCAGCACCCCGGGATCATCAGCACCCCGGGATCTGCCATACCCCGGGGCACCAGCACCCTGGGAATCCGGGATCACCAGCACCCTGGGATCATCAGCACCCCAGGATCTGCCATACCCCAGGGCACCAGCACCCCGGGAATATCAGCACCCCAGGATCTGCCATACCCTGGGGCACCAGCACCCCGGGAATCCAGGATCACCAGCACCCCGGGATCATCAGCACCCCGGGATCTGCCATTCCCCGGGGCACCAGCACCCCGGGAATCCGGGATCACCAGCACCCCGGGATCATCAGCACCCCGGGATCTGCCATACCCCGGGGCACCAGCAACCCAGGAATCTGGGATCACCAGCACCCTGGGATCATCAGGACCCCGGGATTTCTCATACCCCAGGGCACCAGCACCCTGGATCACCAGCACCTCTGGGATCTCCCATACTCTGGGGAACGAGCACCCCTGGGATCTCCTATACCCCAGGAAACCAGCACCCTGGGATCACCAGCACCCCCAGGATCTCTCATACCCCAGGAAACCAGCACCCTGGGATCACCAGCACCCCCAGGATCTCTCATACCCCAGGAAACCAGCACCCTGGGATCACCAGCACCCCCAGGATCTCTCATACCCCAGGAAACCAGCACCCTGGGATCACCAGCACCCCCAGGATCTCCCATACGCCGGGGCACCAGCTCCCTGGGATCATCAGCACCCCGGGGATCACCAGCACTCCCAAATCCCCCCCCAGGATCACCCCTGAGATCCCCTCCAGGATCACCAACACCCCTGGGATCTCCCACACCCCTGGACACCGGCACCACAGGACACCACCGCCTCTGGCATTCCCAGCGCGCTGGGATCACTCCCAGGCCACTGGCACCCCGGGACAACCCCAGGATCTCCCCCCTGGATCACGGGTACCCCCAGGATCACCCTCAGGACAGCCCTGGGGTCACAGCCCGGACCCCGGCACCCCGGGGCCCTGCTCGAAGGAGGGCACTGAGGTCCCCAGGCCCTGCCAGCCTCCAGGCTGCATTTCAGAAACGTCCCAAAATCACTAAAAAACACCCCCATCCTCTCACGGGTCGTTTTATTTCACCAACCTCCCAAACCCCGAGGAGAGCTCGCCCAGGGAGTCAGTGCCGGAGCACCCCAGGACACCCTCCTGCTTTTGGGGTGCAGTAGGACCTTCCTGCTCACACACCAGCCTCAAAACTACATTTGCAGCATCCTGAATTTGAGATTTCTCGGGTCATGTTGGTTTTTTTTCCCAGATTTGGGACCACTATGGGGACGGGGTGGGTGGCACCGAGCACCCACGAGGGGGAAGCAAAGGAGGGGTGGATGGTGGAGGAGGTCAAAGGAAGGCTGAGCTCCGCTCCTGTGGAAGTGTTTTCTTGGAAAGTTCAGCCTGGGTTGAATTTCCAACAGCTTTACAAACCTTTGAAAATTGATAATTACAAAGAAAAGGGGATTTCTAGGCCGTTACCCACCGCACTTGTGGGGAGCAGGTGCTGTTACAGTAACAGAAGTGAGCTGCAGCAAATTAAACCAAACTGAACAGCTTGGACTAATTCATTTTCCCAGCCCTCCTTGTGAACGGGGGCAGGACGTGGAAAACCTCCTCCCCGGGATGCTCCCACTACGGCTGGGGCCGGTTTTGGCAGCGGGGGCTTTTTTGTCCCCCATCTCGCTGCTTGGCAGGGGCCCAGCCAGTATCACCCCGTAAAGCTCCAGCCAAGCGCCAGCAAGGTTTTCCAGTAACCCCAGTGATTTCCCTGCGGGTTTTCCAGTAATCCTGGTGATTTGCCAGGCTTCAGGCAGGGTGTTCCCAACGGCTGCGGAGCGCTGCATTTTGGGGTTTTCAGCGTTATTGTTCCGGCTTCCCAAAGAATTCCGAAGCTCTTCGTGGCTGTGGAGATCTCACTGTTTTGGGTAAATCACAGGAACGGCCCCAGCAAGAGCGAGGTGGCCGTGAACCCTCGGCAGCAGCGGCAGCAGGAGGTGGGACTCTCTTGGCTGGGTATGTGGTGTTAGAAACTTCCCTGGCGCGTGCCGAGCTGGAGTCAGCCTCCCACCTCCACTGGAGGAGGAGGAGGAGGAGGAGGACTTCCAGCAAACCTTCAGCACGCTCCCCTCGGTGGGTGAAGATACCAGAAGCACGGTTATCCTCCGGAGCTTCCCAGTTGCTGGGCGTTGGGATCTCACTCTGGATCCGAATCTCCTTCCTGGCAAGCAGCGGGCCAAACACCACCCTCTCCCCCCGACTTGGCTTCTCAAGAACCACCTTGAAAACGTCAAACGAGCAAAGATGGGACCTGCCACTCGGTCAAGAACGAGCCCAGGAGGCCCTTGCCCCCGGCACCGGGGAGGAGGGAGGCAGAAGCAGCCCAGGTTGTCCACAACACACCTCTCTGTCCCGACACCCTCTTTTCCAGAGACGCTCCGAAAAACAAGCGTTGCTATTTGAACCCCTGGCTTGCTTCCCGTCTAAACAGCGGGTTTGATTACCAATAACTGTCAGCCTACCTACGCAGAAGTTGGGTGGTGTGGTTTGTTGTTTTTTTGGGTTTTTTTTCCTACTGTTAGTTTTCGATAAATCTACTGTGGACACGAACACAAGGCACTTTCTGAGGTGACGCTGCTTATCGAATGCTGGGTTCCAGGCTGAGCCCGAATCTGCTACACGACGCGCAGAAATGACAGGGCTTTATTCTTCCCAGCAGCTGTGATGAGCCCGGGTTTCCTCCGCATTTGCTCGAGGGACGACATGGTTCTGGTGTAGGTGTGCTGGCAACAGAAAACCAAAAAGGATCATTAATGCGAACTCAGCTTGCAGAGCAGAATTCTCACCTGTAAAAGCTTTTTTTCCTGAAAAAAAAAAAAAAAATCAACACCTTCCCAAGTGGTGCTGGAAGAAGCTGCCCAAATAAGCCCCATCACACCAGCACTGGCAAATCCCAGCAGGCTCAAAGGAGGGCACGAGGAGCCCAGGGAAATTCTCCTCTTGAACACCAAAGAGCCGGTTTTGAGCTGTTTTCCTTAAAAACACTTACTGATGTAATTGTGCAGCCCTGCTCATTATCAACACCCAATCTTTTTGAAGTCCTGCAAAGCTCAAGGCCTCGGCGGGATCTTACGTTGAGCCCTTGCCAGGAAGAAACCAGAAGTGAGATTGATTTTTTAGCAGAAGACCAGCACGGGATGGGGCCTTTACATCAACCAGAGACATTGCAAAGAGCTGCGCTACAGAACCAAACCAGCATCTTCCCAAAGGCCCCAGCCCAAACGGAATCCCTGGCAGAAGAGTCCCACACCCCGCCTGGCAGCGCGGCGTAGAATCGCTCTCCCGACACGCATCGCCGGACCGAGATTACCTTTTGGTCAGTCTTCATTTTTGCCTTGTAGAATGAGACCGAAGCCGGGCAGGCTGGCAGCGTCGTCTCCTGCATCCGCTCAAACCTGTCCTGCTCGTCTTCCTCCTGCCAGCGGACAGACAGAGCCCAGCCCACGTGAAAAACGCACACCCGGAGACACAGAGGCCAACCGACCCCCTTTGCCGCGTTGAACGCCGGTTCAACCACCTCTCCGAAGCCTTGGCGGTGAGAGGTCCTCCCTTCCCACGCCTTAGGAGAGCAGATTTGGGCAGGACTTTTGGCAAAATCCAGCTGCAGGTAAGTGTAAAGCCCCCAAGGGAGCTCCCTCAGCTGTCTTCTCACAGCCGTGCTCCGCCTGTAACTACCCCCAGGAGCGTCTCCCGCTGCCAGATAATCTCACAACGCAAATGAATTCTGAGCTTCCCCGTGGTGCCCCCCAAGCCCAACCAGCTGATGTCCATGCCCACGCTTCTCCAGGGAATCGTCTGGAAGGTTTGAGCGCACTGAAGAGCAGCGTGGCTTGAAGGAAGTACCATTTTTGAAGCTAGCAGCTTAGATGCAGCGTTTGCACGCCGGATTTGAGGATAGCTCTAGCAGATTCTAAGGTCACCTTCTGTGGTGGTTCGTGAGTAGCCTGGAGGAGGGGACAGTGAAATTCTGGTGTGAATTCAGGTGGCCAAACCGCATCAAGCCAAGAGTAAAAGATGCACACCCCGGAGAAATGGGTTAGAACAGCAAACAAAGAGCCAGTCTGGAAAAGGGAAAATGGTTCTAAGTAGGAAATAAACCTCCAGAGAAAAATGAGGTGGGTGCCTCCCAGACCAGTACGGGCCTCAGCGCGGCCAGTGACGCTGACTGGGAAGCTGCAGTGAACTGCTCAGTAAAAGGGACAAGAGGAGAAACCAGCACTGAGCAACATCAGCAGGGACACCGGATCCCCTGCCTGAAGTTTTCTGCCTGTGACATCAACAACTTGCCCCAGCTGCTTCATTCATCTTTGGGGGTTCTGGCTGATGCAATGACAAGAAATCCAGGGTTGGCAACCATCGGGGGAGCTTCTAGGAATACACTGAGTAATTTGAGTTAGTAAAAGTGGCTAGTGATGGTGGATTTCCTCTTTTCCCCAAAGAGTGACATCCTGGACCCACGCAGTTGGGGTTTATCTGTTGACCTCATTAGGCTTTATCCAAAGGGGGTTGGTTTTGTTTTTTTTTCTCTTTCCTATACAGGTCTGCATCTACATCTGAAATCTTCCCCAGCCTGGTAGATCACAACATTCTGTTTAAAAGTAAACTCATTTTTCTTGGTTTTGTGGGGTTTTTTTGTTTGGTTTTTTTTGTTTGTTTGGTTTTTTTTTTGTTTTGTTTTGGTTTGGTTTTTTTGTTGTTGTTGTGTTTTTTTTGTTGTTTGTTTTTTTTTAGTTCACATCATGTTTGTTACTGATACCCTCAAGGGAACAAAGTCAGTAGGATGGGAAGACCCTGCCTGTGATCAGCTTTAAAACCTTTCACATGCCTTTCAAGAAAGGAGTAAAGAAAATGCTTCACTGAGATTTACAGTCAAAATAATCAGACAGTGGGAGGCAAAAAGGGTTCCTTGGCTGTTTTCCTTCTAAAGAGCTAAAGCCACGCTGTCCCCCACTACACCCTGGCTAGAAATGGGGCTGTGCGTTTAGGAAAGGGGTCACACACATCTACAAACGGAGGGCTGATTCCCTCTCACAGCCAGGGTGGGGTCTCCCTCCTGGCCGGGCATCGCTTCGTCGCGTCAGGCTGAGCGGAAGAACTGCCACCACGTTCCTATCAAACAGCACGAAGGTCTGGGAGTCTGACATTTAACAGTGAAGGACAAAACCTGGAAGGGCTTCAGAGGAGGAGAATGCAAAGAAGAAGTCCGGTAAATGAGACGCTTAAGAGAAACGTGTTTTGTCAGGAATGGCAAAAGACCCCGGGTACCCCAAAGTGGTGGTTTCTAAACGGAGGGCTGGCTAAGCACCAGTTGCCACGACGCGAAACGCAATAGTTCAGCTGGAAACATTACAGATGATAGGGATTGGAAACAAGGCTCCCAGCTACCCCTTGCACCTCTGGGCAGCTTGCCTGATTACCGACAGTCAGCAGATGACTGGGTGCTGCAATCACTCTGTCCTATTTTAGCCTCTTAATAGTAAAGCTAACGTGAAAGCAAGATGTATCTCCAGATAGCTGCTCTCTGCATCGTAGCAGATATTGTTTCAACGCCAGCCTCTCTGCTTAGAGAAGGGGGCAGAGCTGCCATGCTCTCCTCCTCCCGCGGGCTTACTTGTGCCCTCGTTACCAGGCCACACGTGGCTATCAAGGAGAATAAGCAGAGCTGCCAGGACAACTCACCAGGCACATGACTCTGTTTATGGGAATCATTCCAGGTCTGATGCTGCCGCCGGGCTTCAGAGCTTCCCGCACGTCCTCGGGGATGAGGAAGGACTCGCTGTACCAGATCTCAAACTCTGCAAAGCAAAGCAAGGGGCAATAAGCAAGGCTGTTAACGACCGAAGAGACGAGGTTGGGTTGTTTTGTGGCTCCCTGCCCGTGGGATCAGACAGGACCTCAGCGCTCTTCCACTCTCAGACAGGACCTCAGAACTCCTCGCTCGAGTTTCAGACCCTTAGAGGAGTTAGTTAAAAAGGACAAGGGAGCGTCAGCTGGCATCGGCTGCTGGAATCGCTGGTGCCAGGTCTCGGGGACACCCTGGGGACAGTCCCCTGGGTTTGTGCAGGCTGAGGGGTAGCTGGCCGCGAGATGGCACTGCTCCCGCGTCCCGGGGACGCGGAGCCACCCAGCTTGGAGCCACCGGCCTCGGGTGGGCAGCAGGCTTTAGTGGGAGGGGGCGTGGGTCAAGATTTCCATTCCAAATGCTAAAGGAGCGCGGCCGCTTTCCGACCCGTAACAGCCAGCGCTAACACGCAGCAGGAATTCTGTCTTTATTCACGCCGGGCATTTCCTAGGCACACACTGCAAAGTGGTCGTGCTCTGCTCCCTTGCTCCGGCACCGTTTCCCCCAGGGAGCAGGAGCCCCTGCAGAAAGCTGTGCTGCCCAGGAGGGACCCCAGGAACGGAGCCGCGGTCTCCGGTGGGAGTCGTGAAGGATAAAAAAGGTTAAGCACAGAGCCCTGCCCTCGCTAGGCGCTGTGGGCGCGATGCAACACCGCTGACTTTTTACCCCGGTTTTTAGCTGAGGTGACCCCTTCGCTCTGAACGACGCGGCTACTGAGTGAGTCCGGGTCCGTTTGTTTAAACGAACAGCAAACGTCTGGGGCACCCAAAAAATGCCAAACCCGGGTCCAACGCAAACCGGTGGCAAAGTTTCTGCACAATTATGATTCGGCCCTATCTCCTGGAACAAGCCACGCATTTCTTTCAGCGTGGGACGCACCGACGGATACAAGTTGTGCTCTGGCAAGTCTGTAGAAAATCAAGTGTTGCCACGTGCGCAGCAACCCAGGGCCTGGGACTCGGGCATTCGTACGTCTCCTGTTTTCCATCCCATGGGAGCCATCCGGGGATGGAGCAGGACTGCCCTCCTGCCACCACCTGCAGAGGAGCGCGCCGCAGATTTGCCGGGATCACCCTGAGCAGAGGTGTGACTCCTCACCACGAGGGCGGTGCTCGTGCAGGACGCGCTAAAATAACCCAAGCTGCTTCCCGCCAAGGCCGCTGCAACGCTGGGGCCTGAATCTCACAGGGGTACAGGGGGGGACACCTGCAATTCACAGCCAAAGCCCTGGCCCAGTGCTGTCCCTTAGTCACCATCTCTGTTAAATGAAATCAAGGCTGAGAACCAGGGCTCTCAGTGGGAGCGCTCCAGGGCTTAAAGGGGGGACAGGGAAGGTGGGGAGGGACTCGTTATTAGGGGGTGTGGGGATTGGACGAGGTTTTAAATTGAAAGAGGGGAGATTTAGGTTGGACATAAGGCAGAAATCCTTCCCCGTGCTGGGGGGGAGGCGCTGGCCCAGGGTGCCCAGAGCAGCTGTGGCTGCCCCCTCCCTGGAAGGGTTCAAGGCCAGGTTGGACGGGGCTGGGAGCCCCCTGGGCTGGGGGAAGGGGGCCCTGCCCGGGGCAGGGGGGGCACTGGGGGGGCTTTAAGGTCCCTGCCAGCCCAAACCAGTCGAGGATTCTATGACTGTTGTCAGCTTCATTGTGAAAGGCTCTTAACCACAGCACTGCATCTAGGGGTGCGACCAAGGAGCAGTACATCATTATCTGTGAGAGCGAATCTGCAGCAATTCAGTGTTATGTCAAAAAACCCCCACCCAATTGTCAATAAAAACCAAGCCTGGAAGGCAGCAAGAAAAATGACGACAGAGAGTGAGGGACTTGGCTTATATACGTGTCTGTGAAGTGCTTCAGTACTGAGCTGCTGTCAAGCACTCCAGCTAAAGCAGAGGCTGTTCAGAAGCGGCCCTGGCGAGCCGGTACCTGAAACGAGTTTGTTCCGGCACTGGTCCACCAAATGCTGGCAGTACTGGATTTCTGCCTTCAGGTCCTGCAGTTCAGCATAACCAGACCTGTACTCTTCCTTCAGGTCTTTCAGCTTCACGATGAGTAAAAACTCTTTCTCATCAATTATGATCTGTCCTTTCTCATCAACATACTCTCCTGGAGGGTAAGAAAAGGAAACGAAGGTTTCTCATGAGGGTGGAGAGGGACAAAGAACAGTCATTATACTTCGAACCACACGGTAGTTACCCAGTTGTACTGAGGTTAACCACACAATTGACATTTCCTTAGACATGCTTTCTACAGATACAGTGTTGGAGTGGTGCGGGGCAGAAATCACTGCTGAACTCCTGAACCCGCTCAGACCTCGCTCCTTCCCGAACTGGGTTGTTTGCAGATGGAGAGGAAGGACCAGGCGCCGCAGAAAGACACCCACATGTCAGCCTGCCGGAGGGCATCGCTTCGGGCTTTTATTGATCCTACTGAAAAATTCCCTGGGCAGCCACGGTAAGGGTCTTTGAGACAAAGGGCTGGTCAGCCCTTTGGGGACAGCTACGCCCGTGCTACTTCCCTGTGATAAACATCCCTCGTTCTTGGTTTCCCTCAAACAAAGTTCGTTCCTGTGGTTTCCAGCATCCACATTAACCCGCCGGTTGGTAGATGTCATCGTAAAAAGCAACGGCCCAGAAGAAGCAATGAGCCCATGAAAAGACAGACCCTCACTTCGATACGGATTCAAGCCCATTTGCTCATCCTTTAGCCAAAAGAGCTTTGCATTTTGTAGGGCCAGCCCCTATGGGATGGTCCTAAAAGTGTCTCTGTAGGAAGATAAATAGAAACTGGTAGAGCAGCGTTCACTCTGGCTCTGACTCTCTGGCCCTCGTTCACTAGTCGGGGCCTGCTTGCTGGTGACCATTCTCTTCCCCTCTCATTCCCTCTTATTTCCCACTAATTGCCTGGCAATAATTAAGGCTGTAGTTTCACAGGACTGAGCTGTTTTGCTGTCCTCCCTGTATGCGAGGAACGCCGCTGCTACTTCCTCGCCGTCGCACGCAGAGCACTCTAGACCACTCTGCTCTTAAAGCCATTTGTTTCAGATTTCTCTCCTCACCCAGAGGGATTTCTTCCCCGCTCCTCTGCAGAACCCAACCGCACCGGCTCTTGGGAGCCCTGCTGCAGGGAGCACAAAACCTGACGCACTTTCTAGTCTCCCCCAGGCATATTCCACCCAATCCCGCTGCAGCAAAGTAGGAAGGCACTCACCCCCTTTTTTTCCCCTCTAGTACCTTGCAGTTTGGGGTTTTGACTTTCATAAACCAGCCCCTAACCTAGATGAAATCAAGCTGTAGGAGACGCCAGGGATGCCACAGTAAGGGCGAGCCTACTACCTGTGGTTTCTGCACTGTCCTGGCCCGCGTTTGTCGGCAGTACGCTGCCTAATCAAGGAACCTGCCTGACCGCAGCTCACCTCACCAGCGTAAAGCCCGAGTAGCACAACTCAAGGGGGCTGAAGTGTGGAGGAGGCAGGTGGCGAAGCACTAAAGCCCGGCCTGCCCTGGCAAGCAGCAGCAGTGGTCTAGTGGTCTCGCCACCAGAACTGCTTTGGAATCGGCGGCTCTCCCCCTCTGTCAGATTCTCGCTGGCCGGTGTCCACACAGCGCCTTACCCTGCTGCCACCGCTCCTGCTTCTGAGCCTCCAGAGCCCTTTGGATGCCCTCCATCTCCCGCCTGATGAAGTTGATCCTCTGGGCTACTGTAGAGCTTCTCCTCTTCCTGGCGAGGAGGATGCTTTTGTTCTCTTTAAAGATGCGGCTGATCTCACTCCCGCCCTCCTCCTTAAACTGCTCAAATGCCACCGGCTTGGGCGGAGGGGAGCTGCGACAGAAATTCAACGGAAACACAGACAGACATGGGGAGGTCAGTTTGTTCTGCCCTGCAGCACGGCGCAGCTCATGGGAGCAGCCGTAGCTGCCGGGAGCTCAACGGGCCCTTTGGGGATCTCGCTGTGCTAGCTGCACCCTGGTACCACCCCCGTGCCAACCTCCGTGCCCACTTTCCCCCAGCACTGCTCCCAGAAGAAAAAGTTTACGTAGAAACCACATTCCTCAGGAGATGCCTCACAGTTGAGTGTTCCCTGGAAAGCTGACCTTGAATGGTCTGAATTTTCAGAAAAATAATGAGTACTGCTCCTCCCTATTGTTAAACGGAAACGCCTTTGCGCTTTCCTCACTGGATTCCCAGCACAGACCAGTCACCTCTGCCAACCAAACCCCCCAGCTCCGTGCGTTGGCCGGCTCTACAGGGCTGCCGCTCGTGGCTTTTCAGTCTTGCCTATTTAGAAAGACTGACTGAATTCAGAGTGGCATGTGTCGATCCTGACTTTTCTATGAAATGGCTTTGAGGCAAACGTGCCCCCCACCCCGTGAACACCAGCTCTCGCTTCAACACAAACCACGCCGGGCAAAAGGAGAGTCCTTCAGGTGACTCGCATGGATGAGAGTCTGTCCTGGGTTGAGTGAGTGGTGGAGTGTTTTTGGTGGCTGGGGAGGGGGCTATCGGGGCGGCCCCCTGTGAGAAGCTTCTCAAAGCTCCCCCAGCTCCAAGTCAGCTCCACTTCTGTTTGGGAAATTGAGCCAATCGGCTGCACCTCTGCGATAACGTATTTAAGAAGGGACGTGGTGACGGGCAGTGGGACTGGTGAGGAGGAGTTGCTGCAGCTGCGTGAACACCAAGGTCAGTGGAGGAACGGAGGAAGAAAGGAGGGGGGAGGTGTGCCAGAGCAGAGACCCCCCTGTATCCTGTGGGGAGACGGCAGGGCGGCCCCCCCTGCCACCCATGGAGATCTACGGTGGAGCAGACATTGATTTATGGCCTGTGGCTCCCGCTCAGCATAATCAAGGTGCTGTGCCCGAAGAAGGCCGGGGTCTCATGGGAAAAGGCAGCCCCGCTGCTGTAATTCAGCACTGGGAGGATTGCAGCATGCGGGGGAGTCCCACGCCGGAGCAGCTCGGGAAGGGCTGCAGCCGTGGGAGGGAATCCAGTCGGAGGAAGTTAGTGACCCATGACGGAGCAGTGGGGGGAACGCTGAGGCCCGTGGGAGGAACTCATGTTGGAGAAAGTTTGTGGAGGACTGTCTGCTGTGAGAGGGGGACCACGATGGAGCAGGGGGAACAAGTTTCGGACACTCCCCTCACCGAAGATAAGAGTTGTGGCAGCACTGCCTGCACCCCCCATTCCCTGCCCCTGCGCCCCTGGGGGAGGAGGTAGAGATATCAGGAGCAGAGCTGAGCCCGGGAAGAAGGGAGGGGTGGGGGGAAGGTGTTCTCAAGATGTGGCAATGCTTCTCACTGTCCTACTCTGTTATGTGTTGTTAGTGTCTGTAATAAATATATGTTCTTTTTTTCTTCCCCTAACGAGTCTGCCTTTTGCTCGTGATCATAAAGGGGGATTTTCCCCCATCCCAGTCCTATCTTGAACCCCAAGCCTGGCTCTCTGTCCCTTCTCATTGCCGGAGGGGAAGGGAGAGAGAGGTGCTGCGTTGTGGTTGGCTGCCAACCAGGCCCAAACCACGACAGAGTCCCTCAGGCTCCCACGGATGCTCCTCTGCGCTGCGTAAGGTTGTTCTCGGGGAGCAGGCTGGATCTGGTAGGAGAAGGCAGCTGCAAGTCTCCACATCCCTCAGTCCAGACAGGTCAAAGCAAAACCCTGACTACTGCCTTCCCCTGCCTGACCTCTTAAGGGCATTTTCAAACTCCTCAAAGGCTGCGTGAGACTGCTTTCCGTGCCAAACTGCTGGCAACGTGCTGTAAACAACAGCCACTGGGCAGGCTGCCGCCGCTACAGCTTTGACAGCCAGCTTTAAGCACTCTGGGTTGTGCCTCCTGCAGCTGCAGCAGCAGCCTTCCCTGCCAGCCACAGGACTTTTGGAAGAATACTAAAAGGCATGCCCAGGGCGCGGAGGAACATGATAGCACGTTAAGGTGCTGCAGGAGTAAATTCTGCTGGGGCAGCTTCGCTGCGAAGCTCTCCCTGGGCGGCAGGGACAAGCAAGGACTGGTCAGCAACAGCACAGGCTCACAATACTTCGGAGCTGTGTCGTTTGTAGCCTGAGAGCTCTCAGCAAGAAAAGATGGCTGGTGATGGGAGAAATGGTGTCCAGACTGGTTTGTGGGGGGGTCCTGGCTGAGCTCCTCTGAGCTGAACAGCCTCGGGCTGTTGAGCACGTCCTCCTGGAAGGAATCCTTTGTCTCGGGACCCTTAGCATTTTGTACCCCGTACAGAATGAAATGCAGTTCCGTGCTGGCCTCCCATGCTAAATTCTTGTCATGGTACGAGCAGATGGCTGGCACACTGCTGCATTTTGGGCCATTCTCCACTCTTCTGTCTTGATATGGCACCTCCTGCCATGACCTTGTGCGCCTATTGACCCATTTTGGTGAGTGTGTGGGGTTCTGTGGCTGGACATGAGGCCTCTTTGCGCTTTTACTGCTAATCAAAGGGTAAGAAGTCCTGCAATTTTCAGAGCCTTCACAATTTATAGAGTCACTGGCCTGGGAAGAGCTGAAAGCAGATGGAAAAGATGACCACTGCCAACACAGTTTGGTACACAGGGTGTCCATACAACCACCGCTGTCCTACAAGGGATTTCTGCATCTGAGTAATGAAGATCTCCAAATCTCTTCTCTTTACTTTGAAGCAGGTAGTTGTACTAAGGGAACGCAATGCAATCACTCTGGTGTAAACCACCCTCTGGCCCAGCTTACCTGGGCTGCTGTGAATCCACCACTGGAGCTGGCTTTGAGAGCTCTCCATCAATATTTGCTGTATCCTGGTTCCTTGCTCCATCTTTCACATCCAGATGCCTGGTGGAATTTATTACCTGACTTTTTGATGGTAAAAAAAAACCCAGATCTCTCCCAGAAACAGATCTTCCTATTCCTTCCTTCCTGACAGGAGGAAAAAGATGAATCAGATTAATGAATTTCTTCATAATAGGAAACTGGAATCAAAACATGCTGCAGGTGCTGGCTCTGCTGATTCAAAAACCAGCAGTCTGACGTAGCTTCTACAAGTTTGCAGTGAAATATCTACTGACAAGGACCAAGATCAGCCTTGTTCTCACAAATCCTGACTTCCTAGAGTAGAGGGACTGCCTTGGGTAGCAAGTACTACACCATACAGCCCAGGCTGGACTAGCTCTCTTGAGAAGGATCACGAGGACAACGGTCCCACGCTGTCTGGATTGAGGCACACCTGCAGACAGAATAACCCTCTTTACCTTCACAGGAACCTACAAACTGAATCCCCTAGGATTTGATCTAACCCCACATCTAAAGCAAGCCCGGGTCTCTGTTCTTCTCCCTCGGCTCAGCTCCACAAACACCACCAGCCTTGTCTGCAGGGGAGAGCGTGGCTTGAAAGAGATACAGAGAAGTGCTTGCCAAATCTCCCTCCTTCTCCCTAAAAAAACTGCACAGAGGAGTCCCCTGCGTCATGTGGATAGGAAAGCCTCGGTGGTTCCCCGCCTCTCTAACGCAAGGGCTTTGGGGACATGTCAGGCAGGAACCAAGCAAGATGCTCTCGGCCACAGAAGTAGTTGTAGAAACTGCCACTGCAGGGACCTTGCTTGTACAGATTGAAGGATCTTTCTCTGCTCAGTACTGCTTGGTTCCCCCTTCCCTCTCAAAATCCCTTCTCCTTATCTGCTCCTCTGCCCACTGTCCCTTCCTCCCCTGCCCCTTAGCGGATCTCCTTCTACCTAACACTTTAAAGCTGAACTGCAGGTTTAACACGTCTTCTGAGGCCATCCCAGGACCGTTCCCCTGCCTGCCTGTTCAACTCCCACCTCTCTCTTCACAGGCTGACTGCGTCTGTGCTGGCTGCAAGCTCTTCAGCTCAAAGCCCATCCACCCTCTGTGTCCGCGGCTCACGCCCTGCGCGGAGGGAGCTCTGTGGTCTTGGTTCATCCGTAACACACAGGTGAACCGTTTGCAGTAAATCTTTTTTTAGATTTAAGTAAGAGAGACCGACCATAACAGAGACCCCTGACATCCTCCTGATGGTGCAGCTGCTGGCCGTAAGGACACCACACACCCTTCCAGCACTACGCTGGAACGTCACCCCTGAGGAAACACAAAGCTTCCACACACCCGTTAAGCCGGCTTCGTCTCTGCTTTCCTCACACCTTGCCCAGAAGCAGTCGCCACCATGACGCGTTATCAGAGAAAAGGGAAAGCTGGCTGGCTGCTAAACTCACTTGGGCTGCTCATTGCTCTTCCTGGATTTCTTCTTCCCACCATGTCTGGAGGAAAAAGGAGCAGTTCTAGTCCCAACTCCATCCTCTTCCCGCACCAAATGGCCATCGGCAACAACCACACCTGCCTGGAAACAGGAAGAAATAAAACACGGACCAGGAACCATGAGATCTGTAGCTGTCTAGACCACGAAAGCTATACAGCCCTTGCCCAGCAGCTGTTCCGTCCTGTTGCACAACCTAATCCAGAGGTCTGTACACACCACCAAGTACTTCAGGGAAATCCATCTACAAGAGTGAAGTGAAAACTAAAATAGGGCCAAAACGATCCGCAAATTCATATGCCAAATGCTTCAGCCACTTAGGGGGAGAATAACTAGGGTCTAGTGTCAAGAGAAATAAAAGCACCCTCAGAAGTCTTCATTTAGTGAAGATATATACGGTAACTCTTATACTATTTCTCATGTTGCCTCAACCATAAAACAGAGGCACCATTAAGCACTAAAATCTACCCAAATCAGGTTTCAGTTTTGTTTTCCACTTCTTTAAATAAAGCCTTGAATAGGCCTGTTAGTGACCACGTGCTTCGCCGTTACACAAATGCTTTGCATCTTCCCTTGTGCCTTTCTTCAAAAAAATTCAGAGCATCTTCAGTTAAGCCATAGGACAAGCATATGACTCTGCATAACAATTAATGATTATTTTATCCACTTTACTGGATAAAACCAAGGCAAGGAGCCAACCACTTCAGAGAGAAAATATGTCACAAACGGAAATAAGCAATGAAAAATAGATTATAAACTGTAAGATAGAGTCCACATCTGAATTTATGGTTTACACACGATACATTTACATTGCTCCAGAAATTATAAGGCTTAAAAGAGGGAACTCAGCAGGGGCAGGCAATCTGACCCTGCCTTCTACAACCGACTGACAGACAGGTCACCTTCTAGTTCATATTTTCTTCATTCCCACTTAATAAATTATTCTGTTCAGATAATGGGCCTAATCCTCTGCTGATATGAATGCCTCCTTGTTAACTGGTCCGCCTCTGCTCTGTGCAAGTTTTTTGACACACTCATCCCGTTGACATTTCTTCAGCTTCAGATTCCAACAGGGAAAAGTTGAGAGCTTGAGGCAATTCATATTTTGGCAGCAAAGGAGCTGATTCTGAGATGGATTCTGGGCCAGGCTCAAGCACCAGGCATTACCTTACGGACAGCAGCAACAGCAGCGAAGTCGTTTTTGTCTATCAGAGCGTACTTGCTTCGTAATCTGGCCTCCACTTCATGCTCCTGTTGACTAGGGGAGAAAACAGCCCCTTAGCATGGTGGTCAAGGAGGACTATTTCATATGGCAAAACCTGTGATGCCTGCCAATATCAGATTTCCAAAGAAAATCGTCTTTTTTAGCTGTGATCTCGTTCCCAAACACCCCACCGTGGTCCTTCTATTCTTCCCCATAACCCCTGTAACCTTTATCCACTCTCCTCTTCATTTCTTTTTCTACAGTGACCCTTTAGGCCTCTTAGATATGGAAGATTTTTGATGGCTATTTTAATACTTAGCATAACCTTTTAATGGTCCAGATCAAAAAACATTACCTCTGCTCAGTTCCATCACCTTACTTTAACCTAGTGGTTTTCAAACTGAGTGATTTTTTTCACTGAAAGGGAATGAGTAAAGCATTGTCAGTAAGCTTAAATACACTAGGCTGAAAAACGTTAGAGAATCTGCAAGTTAAAAAAGACTAAAGCCCACTAAAACTAAAGTGTTCCAAACCAATAAAAGCAGTCCCAAGTTAAAAAAAAAAAAAAAAAAAAAATCAGGCGAAATTTTACCACGAAACCCATTTTGGTCTTGGCTCTCAGCAAAGCCTGACTGCCCAGTTTGATGGTGTAGCACAGATACTTGTGCTCACACAAGTTCCTCGAGGGCAGGCAGATTTTCTACAGCAATATCCCAACGTCATTCCTGTGAGTAGCAACCTCTGCTGCCCAGCCAGAGCACCCCTGCAAAGGTTGGTGGGGCAGGGTGGGTTGCCCTAATACCCTTTTTTTTTTTTCTTTGTCCTCTTCCACTTCATGACACGGAAGCTGCTTCTCCTCATTTTTAGGATTTTTTTTCCAGCCTGTCATTCCCTTTCCCAGCCTAAAAAGCAACTTTCATCATCCACTGGTGACATTTCCTAACAGCCACTCTCGCGCGTTCTCCCATCCCACGCTGCACATCAGAGCGCGCCTCCCTGGCAGTAGCCACAGAGCCTTCTTACCAAGCTCCTCCCAATTTCTTGATGACCTTCCTTTGCCATAATCTCAAAAAAAAAAAAAAAAAATCTGATTACTTTTAGATGCTGGTGCGGTGAGACCGCTTGATGTCACCTCATCCTCCAGAGTTTGATTTTTCTGTTGATCTGTTTGCAGACTGCCTTGCGCTATGGAGATACGCTCCACGATCAGGGATCCTGCACAGTTTATGCTCAGTGACGGTGTATTTGTCAAGCAGACTTTTTAATCAGCGAAGTTTACCATCAAAGGCCTTTGCACGTGACTTAAGAGCACTGGAAAGTTAAAGGCAATAGTCTTCGTGTGCAAAGGCCAGCTGAATTTCTCCAGAATTGTGTTTTCAGTGACAAGTTATTCCCTGTATTCCATAATGATTCTTCTCTTATGTCATGGTGTGATATTCACAGCCAAAAGCTCAGTGGAATTTCTAAACCTTATTGTGAAATGCATCAACCTTGGATATCTTACCTCACAATCAGTTTGAACTGCTTAAATACCTCCTGGACTTGCCTGACGTTCACTATCTGAGGAAGAGATGTACACAGTGAAGATACAGGTAAGCATCTCTACGCTCTGGTCAACTGTATTGATTCAGATATTTTGGGTTGTGAGGACTCTGCTTTCCACGTGCTGGGTATCCACACTCAAAGAGAGTTACCTTCATCCTGCACTTGAGAGTCACCTTCATCCTGCACTTGAGAGTCAGGGTAGAGGTGGCTACGTGGCTCGCTCTGAGGAGATTTTTAGAGAGGAATCCTACAGAGTGTGGTAAATCCCACAGAGCGCGCAGCCACCGAGGTAATGAATTATTTATAAAAATTTTACAAATGACATAGATGGCATCTGCTGCCCTTGCGGATTATGATGCTACTTCTCTGCTCGCTGCTGCCCGAGACTGCCCGAGTACTCGGAGCTGCCAGAGCACCATCTTCAGTCCTCTCACCCCCGATAACGAACCGGTGCGGTCGAGCCAATTCCCCTCTCTGTGCTTTGGAGGTGATGAGCCGAGGCACGGACAGTAACAGGCAGCCTGCAGCCGAGCAGGGTGCAAAAGACTGGACTAAGCTATAAAACACACCGCCTCTTTTCTCAACCCTCTCCCTAAAAGATTCTTCAGGACCACTGGAGACATCCTTCCCCGTGTGAAACTCCTTAGCCCTCCTCTGCCTTCCCTGCCCCAGGCCCACCCCACATCACGTTTTGCAGGCCGGGTACAATCCACCTTCCCGGCCGCCCTTACTCCGCTCCACTCCTGCCCGCTGGCAGCAGTAAAAAAAAGCACTTTGAGAGAAAATAACGATTGCACGAAACAACAGGGAGTGTCTCAAGTGTTTGTTTAAACTGAAGGGTTATCTAACTGTTTGGAAAACAGTCTGCCAGCAACCGCTGCGCTGCTGTCACAGTGGCTTCTGTTTACAACCAAACAAAACTTCACAGTAACTCTGCGCATTTATGACTTTCATTTTCTTATTTTTTTTTTTTGCTTTCTTGTGTGCCCCCACAGGAATATTTGTGTACACAGGGCTTCTACTATTTCTTTTTGCAATCATTTCACTGTCGGCGAGTAGTTTCAAGTTGAGAAACCCCACCCTATTGAGCCTGTCTCTAAGAGACTGGGCAGATTTTGGTAACACACCTTCCAAAGATTTAGTTTGACACCGTCAGGGCAAAATTTTTGCAGTAATTCTTTAAAGAAGTTCCAAATAAACCAATTCAAGGGGTTTCAGGACTGAGGAAAAGTCTCCTCAAGCTTCCAAAAAATTAAAAATGGAATGAAAACAAAGAGACAGTCCTTAACGTGCAAGAAAAAAATAAATTACAATTCTGTAGCACTTTAAAGACAGCCTCTTCAGAAGACATTTTCATTGCCTCTGTCTTGGAGTAAAATGGGATGGAATCAGTATTTACGTCCTTCTCCACTAGAAAGCGACTTACATCAATTTCATCAATGGCTCCTCTTAAGTATTTATGGACTTGAGACTTAATCTCTGCTATCTGGATGTCAGTCAGAGGGTCATAAGTCACCAACGAACGATTTACCTAAGAAAAAAGGTGAACAACTGAGTGAATTACAAAAAGCTAAGCAAGTACTAGTCCGGTGAGCACCTGACGTTGCTCTGCTGTGCCCAGGGAAGCCTTATGTTTAATTTCTGACTGCAAATTCTCATCCTCCGAGTCGACAGGACACAGGACTTGGGAGCACGCTGAAAGCAAAGCATTCCCCTTCACGTTTCAATCAAACGGGGAGAGCTTCAAGGGTCTGAAAAAAAAACCACCTACAGGGGCTGGAGACTGAAGCTACGACACAGTCTCGCTGCAGGGAATCTTCAGAGCTTTGCCTAAACCTCGAAAGGCAGTGGTGGAAGCAGAAGGAAGAATGCAGTCACACTGGATGCTGAGTTAGCTGATCCTACTGCAAAACAAAGATCATGACAGAGCCTTAACTAGGTCCCGCCTAAGTCGCTGCCGTCTGTTCCTTACCAAGCTGTCATGCATGGCCAGTTCCTGCTTCAGAAGAATAATCTCCTTTTCCAAAGCCTTCACTGTCCCCTAGCAGGAAAACAAAAGGGTGAGCTAAGGACTAAATACTGTTTGGAGAAAAAAAAAAAACAAAACCTGCTGAAAAGCAGCGTTAAACCGGCTGCTACAGACCCACACAGCTGGGTACCAGCTCCCCCGGGGTTCGCTGTCAGGTTTGCATCGGGGAGGTAGTGGGTCTGGAAATGACTTTGCCTTTGATGAGCTTCCAACAGGACAGCTTCTGTTGTGTCCCGGGTGTAGTGCCTGCAGAGTCGGCCTAAGCCGCCAGAAGAAGGGCCACCTGGGTTTTAATTTGATGCTTTCCTGATCTAGTACTGTAGGGGCTGTCAAGTTCTGGACTATGAGATATTATCTTGAAAGCAAAGAAGTATGCAGGCTTCCACTCTGACCCTTACTGAATTAGTAGGAGTTCTGACATTAACTTTAATAAAGGAGGGATTCTCTTGCAGTGCATTTGAATTTCTCCATAACGTGGAATTATCAAGGGTTCACAATCCAGAATGTGTTTCCAGAAATGTGCGGGCACATAAATCTCCTTGGGATTCAGTGAGAACTGGATACCGAGCTGCTTTTTAAGTGACCTGTTGAGCATCAAAGCACTACAGCTTCCTTAAACACCACTCTTCCAGCTACTCTTTTTCCACTCCATACACCTCGACAAAAATGAAAGGGGCCCGAGAGGAAAAGACAGCTTGTTGCACAGCTTCTTCTGGAAGCTCTTGGAGGAAACTCCCCAGCTGTTTCTCTGCTTGCCAGTGAGATCAGACCATGAAATACAGCTGGGCTCTCACACACCACGTGTGTTACAGGTCAGATAACTCTAAACTTGTTCTCTGGGCCATCAGTAATTCATAGAGCATTTACTGCTGCCAGCTCTGTTTCGGCTGTGAAAATGCACTCAGGACATTTAAAACACTATGATAATTTTCTCTGAATTATGTCCTTGTTTAAACAAGTTTTGTAATTGTGGCAAAAATGTTCTGTGACCAGCAGCAACGGGGCTAATGCTGTGTAAAGCTGCAGGTAGGACTGGAGATGATTTCCCCATATACTGGGAGAGCAGTCCGCAACACTAAGAGGTGAATCTTAGCAGAAAAATTAAGGACTCGTGTGCATGCAGTTGAAAGAATTACCATGTGTCAGGGAAGATGTGACCATCTGCATGACTGTACCCTCTAGCATATTCAAGGTAACTGTAATGAAATATCAATGAAAAAAGTTTCATACTAATCCGTATTATCACACACCTGAATTTAGCAAGTGTCAGCCTGGCTGATGGGAGGTAATTCATTAAGCTACCAAATTTCCCTCTGGTTTTTAAGGTCATTATTCTAAATATTAATGAACCTGAGAAAATATGCCGTCTTCCATTCCCCTTCTCCACATACCTCTCGGTCATATGCCTCACTGATAACTGGCTCAGTTGTGATCCATTTCATTCTGGTAGCAAAACGAAGAGAAGACAACTGAAAAACATGGGTTTGGAGTAACTGAAAGAGCTATTAGCAAGGATATAACTTTCATAATCTGTTCCTCCTTAATCATATCAGATCCCAGGACACAGAAATAGAAAAAGCTATCTAACTGCAGGGAGCAGTATAGGATTTCTCATTCCACGAGTGTATCTTCCAGTGCTCACTGGCCTCTATGTGATTAGCCAGCTCAGATGATGTCTCTCTTTTCTGCTCGGTGTGTGTACGGCTCTTTGTGTACCGGAGCTGCGACCTCAAAAATACCCACTCCCATTTCTAATCACTAAAAACTCCAAATTACACGTCAGCGGCCTTCAAGCTTTATTCCTGTAGCTGGGCTCTCTGGAGAGCAAGCCCCTGCAGCCTGAAAATCCTCCTCCTGATGCAAAGCATAGCAGCCGCCTCCTCAGAAATATTACAAGCTTCTAGACACTGTAGGAACACAAGGAGATGATAAAAACAACTCTGCCTTGAAGACAACTGTATAACAGGTGTCTGTGGTTACGGTTTGTTTTTTGTTTTTTTTTTTTTGCTACGTAAAACTTTCTTGGCAAAGAGCAAAGTGCTCAAAGTGCTTCCCCCCTCTGTGTCACAGATGCGGTTAAGTCGATCCCGCTCACACAGCGGGACTTTCACCGATTTCATCGCGTCCCATGTTGAAAAACCTCACTGCGAGGAGGTCACTCCTCATTCCTGAACCAGCAGAAAGCCAGCTCAGCAGCTCTGAGGTGAACCGGTGCAATTCCACTCACCCCATGACCCATTCAAACGCATTCGTAGAGTTGAACCATCAGGAATAATTAACGCTATCCAGCGTGCTTAGATTTTAGCTGCTTGTGCCTGCTCTATTTCAGGCTCTTATCTTCCCCTGGGCCAGCTACCACTCGTCTGTTTGCATCACAAAGCTGATTGGTGAAAGCAATTTGTTTTCTGAGCCTTTGAGATAAGATGAGCTATCCAGTGTTTCTGATGAATTAGGCAGGATGTTTCTCTGGGACTCCTGCCATAGCCCTCCAGAGACTATTCTTTAAAGCCAGCTACAGCCAACAGTAGCAGGAAGATGACTTTAATTCCGCAGAAATCAGTTCAACTTACAGTCTCTTCCACATGCACAGCCTCCCCACAGATATTTGCCACTAGGACAGTATTGCAGTTTCCTCCTGGGAAAAAATAATAATTAAAAATTAAAAAATAAAGAATATAATTTGGGGGGTTTTGTTGTTTCCTTTTCTGGAATGTATTATATGATGTGTTGACTGAAAAAGAGAAAGCGAAACAACAAAGAACACAGCCAGTTTGTAACTTTCCCTCTAAAGTTCCCCTGGGTACAGAAACACAGTGGCACGGAATGACTTATGAATAAAGGTAAAATGTGTGTCTCGTGTGGCGATGATGCAGTGAGAAGATGGAAATACAAACTGCACATGCCTGAAATCAGGAAAACCGGAGCAGAGGATTTTAAAAGCCCTTGGCCTAACTCTTGGCAGGACACACTCACTGTCTCTCCTAAAAGCAACACGTGGCACGTGCTGGGAATGCCTCTAATGTCACTCTCACTTCTGATGGCTCCGGTTGCCCCACACCGACGTCTACAGCCCGTTTGCAGCTGCTTTCCTCTCCCGTGCCTCCAGCCCGCAGCCCAAGAGCATCAGCCTTTCCCGGGGGTTCCCGATGCACCACAGCTTTGGGTTTATCATCCGTAGCCTGATGCCAAAGCAGGAGCATCTGAAAAGGCTCGTGGCGCGCTGGGGGCTTTTTTTCTGGTGTTTTTTTTTTTTTTTTTTTTTTTTTAAAATATTCTAACTAAGGTTTGGTGAATTTCTACTGGCTCAATTGGTGTGGGCTTTGTACCGTCTCCTGCGCCTGCTGTTTGATTTGATGAGGAAAACCAGACATCCTTTGAGCACCGATGAGTTCCACGTCCCTATAAGTTATGGCCTGAGGACTCCATATGCTCACTGAAACAATTTTCTAGGAGCTGTCTGGGGCTGCTGTAACGCACAGCTCTTACCTAGCGAGTCCTTGAGAACGTGAGTGAGCTTGCTCTGCCGGAAGGGGATGTGGTCCCTCTTAGGATCACCCAGGGCAATGATGAGTTGCTCAAGGAACGACAGAGACTTGTTGATGTACGTGGCTTCTTTCAGAACCTGGCCTTCAGACTGTAATGAGGATGAAAAGGCAAAGCTTCCACAACACGTGATCCTGGCCGAACCGCAGAAGAGAGCGTATTCCTTACCGAGGGCACAACTCTGCTCGACTGTGAGGGCAAGGATCTAATCCAGACCCAATAAACCAATGATCTAGAGCTTTCTTCAGCTTGAAAACTAATTTTCAGAGACCTCAGTTTTTCATGACAAGTCCAGCAGGACCACTGGCTTTCCTTCCCAAGGGGGAAATGATGTATTTGTCGCAAGTGACGCGATTTCTGTTCTCATCAATACAGAATGTCACATGGGGCATGAGGTTCGAGCCCTAATGCTCTACGAAAGTTTCCACACTCTGCCTGCTGTGACCAGAAGTGGGGGAATTTGCATCGTCACTCATGAAGAGGAAAATCAGAGGTTCTTTGTCGTAATACCTGATGGCTCTGGCCCTTTCTTTTGTGGAGAAATTATTGACTCAAATTAACTAACTGAGCCTGGGTCAGGTTGGAAGGCACAGGCAGGATGGGGGTCACATACCTGCAGACTCAGAAATGATACACAGCAGCTGCAAACAACTGAGCCCCCTCTGACGTGATAATGTGGCTTACAATTTGTCACAGTCTCTCCTATTTCTCACAGGCTGAATTCTGCCGTGGGGAAAACCTGTACTTTCAGCTCCACCGTGTTGATTACTAGACTCTTCACTGAAATATTTCTTCCATTACTTACTCTGGTCTTGCTCAGCCTCTCTGAGCCTGCCAGATCTATTAAGTTGATTTTAGAGTTAATGCATTTGACATCTGAGAAGACTCTGAAACGAGACTGAGGGAGAAAAGAATATAAATTGTACTTAACAGGAGGCAAAACCGAAAGACAATAAAAAACAGACATGTAAAGATCCTCAGCCGTTTGAGCCCCTAGAAAAACTGCTGGAGCTCTTACCTCAATATAAATAGTAAAGATGCAATGGGATCTGGATGAATTCTTATTCAGCGTGTGCTCTGCTATCACTCTGTTGGTCTCGCCCTGCAAATGAAGACCAAATTCAAGACGGCGTTTTTAAACCTCTGCACTGGTAGAATATAGGAAAATTAGAAATCCACAGCGTTCAATAAACAGTGGCTCGCCCTTCGCTCTGCAGAGCTTGTAACACCCATCAGTTGGTTAGAGCAGTCAGGGCAGCAGCTCACCACGTGTGCCTCGCTGCCTTACTCAAAAGCCTCTCAAAGCATTTCACGGTGCGGTTGGTAAAGGTCAGTGTTTACTGTAATAATGCGGTCTCCGGTAAAAGGTATTATCTGCACTTCTATTCTCAAAGCTCAGCTCACAGAATTGTGGCTTTTTGAGGAACAGCCAGGCGAGGCTGGCTCAGAGGCAATACCTCCCTGGCTGTTTCAGTTTCTTGACGACTCGAAAACCAAAGAGCTCCCCAAGCTTCAAATGCCATAGAAAACTCACACATAGGATAGCCACAGGTTTGTAATCCCCACTTACAGGAAAAGAAAGAAATATTGGAAATGACTTTGCAACTGCTTGTTAGGAGTGCCAGTCTATCACAGCGCTGTGCTGCCAGGCTGGCAAGGCAGAAAAGGAAACAGAAGGCTCTGCAGCACAGAAATGCACTTGTCCACAGGTTTCGCAATGGAGTGGTCTCAAAGACAACGACCTCTGAGAGCTGGAAGGTCAGTGGCTGGCTCCACACCAGGGAGTGTAAATCCAAGAGCGAGAAGGAAGGTGAAGAGCTCTGGGTAAATATTACCAAGCCCACCCCACCAACGAAGAGGGCCAGCGTAGTGGGCAGCCTCCTCAAGGCCTGGAGCTTTCTCGGTGAAACGAGAACCACAGGCAGAGCTCATCCGAGGACCTGAACGGATCCCCAGGCATCATCTGCTCTTCTTCTGCCAACGGAGCTCAAGTTAAGCTGCGTTATCATCATCCTCCTACTCTTTGAAAAGAAAACGGGAGTTTCTGAGAGCTTGGCTTAGGACACCACAGTCCCACAATTAAAAAGGCAAGTGAGAGATTTTAAGGACACCAGATGGCTCCCGGTAAGAATATGCTTCCTGCCTGTTATTTATTCGTGTTTTCCTTACGAACTAAAGCACCTACAAATAAAAGATAGATGCAGGTATAAGTAAGAAAACTCCCTTCACACATCTAATCCACTGTGTGAACGTCCCTGCTGTAAAATCTGACTAGCAGTACCCGTGCCATGACCACCCCAAACCATCTGCCAAAGATGTTGCTGGTAACTCTTTTTTTGGAGCACTGACATAGCTAGGACAGGCAGGTGTGTTTTTTAGGAAGAAATTCCAGCCAGTGTCGGTCAGCTGGTGGGTCTAAAAGGATCCCCAAAATTCTACACTTTGTACTAAGTCACTCACTGACACCCTTACGTGATAAGCAGGGTAATGAAAACAAATCTTTTGGGCTGTCTGGGATCTCGGACTGACGAAGGGGCCGGTGAGGTGGCTGGTGTTTCAGACGAGCCTTTTGATATGAAAGCAGTTTCTGTGGCTGCCTTCACTATTCTGGGGCTGCCTGGAATTTCCAGTGCTACTACATCCTGTGATCACACCCCTGTATTTCCTCCATCACTTGACTTGCTCTGGTGCACACTAAAAACAGGGTTTCTTCACAGAGATCTTCCAGAATCAGCGTGCCAGGGATATTTTTCTTGCAAGAACATGGGCTACAAAGAATTACCAGTTTTCTACCCACAATAAAGAGAAGAGAGAGGGTTGAATCCTGCTTTACTGCCTCCTCCCTCCGCTAAGCCAATACAATCAGACGAAGTGCAGTATTTGTTTTCTCTTGCCTCAAAAAGGAGATTTAGAGCATCTTCCTCGTGGCTAACTGAATGTATAGACAAGCCCTTCACGTAAACACCCTGGGGGCAATCCACTACAGCCATCGGCACGTCGCTGGTCCCAGTGCTTGTCATGGTGGACAGAAGGTCAAACAGGGTCTCATTGTAGATTTCCAGGTAGGATATACGGACGCTGACGGAATGCGCAGCTGCTTTGAAGACCTAGACAAAGACAAAGAGTTCATCAGTGGCACTTCTAGTCCACCAACTAAATGATTAGCTATTTATGACTTCCCAGAAAAGCTGTTTATAACTTTCTGAGCGTGCGTGTCGCTAATTCGGTGCCGTGGCTGCCTGAAGGCTGACAGGGCTAAGTCAACGGTTTTAATACGATTTGGCAAAATGCTAGTTTTGAAAACACCACTTTTGAAAGCCCACTAACATCTGGGAAGCGGCGAGTGCTTTCTGTGAGCTGGTAGAATCAAACAGGAACAACCTCTGCAAATGACAATAAAGCATAACGACAGGATTCCTCCTATCGTTAGGATAATAATAATAAAAAAAAAAAAAAAAAGAAAAGGCCTGGCAGAGATCAATCTAAAAGATATTCACTGCGTTAAAACATTTTTATGAGTATCAGCAAGAGCTGATACAAGAGATGTCTTCCTTATTTCTTCCAGTCTCTTTTCAAATCCAGTACCTGCTGCAGAGCTCGGGGTATGATTCCTCGGTGCTCGTACTCGGCAGTTGCTCCCGTCATCGTGTAAGTTTTACCAGCCCCCGTTTGGCCATAGCACATTATCGTGCCTAGAAAAGGTTCAAAAGCAAAAGAATCAGCTCAGGGGGGGGAAGCGCTGCATTTCTCAGACGGAACATCAAAGGGATCTCTCCCTCAGATCAAGTCTCCACTTATCAAAACGATGAAAATAGCGGCAAATTACCGTTATAGCCAATTAAAGCTTCGGACACCAACTTCCTAGCCACGGTCTCATAAGCCAGTTCCTGGGAGGTATTGTGAAGGACACCATCGAGTCTAAAGGACCAGTCAGTCTGCTTGTTATTCACAACTCCTTTCTTGGCATCTTTTTTAATGTATATATCTATGCTCTGAAACCCAAAAAGAGATGAAGATAACTTCAATAGCCGTGAAGAGTTTCAGCAGTTATTCACTGAAAAAAAAAAAAAAAACAACAAAAAACCAAAACACTGAAGGCCTGGAGGTAAGTAGAAAATGGAGCACGAATAATTATCTTACTGACCTTGATGGTATTTTCTGGTAATAGATATTCTAAAAAAAAAGGAAATGTGGCTAAGCTCATCTGTTTACCTTTCAGCGACGCGTCTGATTTCATGTCTCAGGGAAATTATTAATTAAGCAAGAGAAGGTGAAGGGAAGAACTTCCATAATGGGGGAATAGAAATAGACTGTACCACAGGGAGCCCTCCGAGGTTGGAACTGGGGTTACCACTGGGAATTGATGAAGGACCAGTCAGAGTCCCAGTCCTTTCGAGGATTTCCGCTAGTGATGCAGCACAGAAAGTGTATTTTCCATAGTCACACTGGCTGATACAAAACCACGAGCCACTGTCAGCGCAGAGGAGAACCGCACGCGGGAACGCATGAACCAACGTGCACCAAAGAGTTCTGTATGGCCATAAGGAATGGAAGAATTCCGTATTTCTGTGGGCAAAACCGAAATCAAATTCCAAACCTTTCACACTTGCAATGCCTTTTTCTCTACCTTGTTGTCTGGCCCGAATTTGATCATATCTTGAGCAAAATCAGCTGTTGGCTTGACTCGCACAAATGTATGGACTCTCTTTTCTACTGCATCCATTCTAACTAGAGAGGGAAAAAAAAGGAAAAATCAACAATATTGCATCCCCTAAAATGAAATGCAATGTTATTTGTGATGAAAAGGCAAGCTACAGAGTAGTCAAGTTTAAAAATAAAGTGTTGATAAATGTTCAGCTGCAGTTTCTAGTCTTTATTAAAAGCAACCGTGGGCAAGCAGTTGCTGAAAATTCTTTACAGTATTGTTCTGCTCAGAAAACTGAGCATGTAAAAAGAGAAGGGTCTTACTGACCATGATTTCCTCTTGTTTATCAGGCACGTTAGTGTTTGAAAACACAAGCTTTTCTTCCTCCTAGCCATGTAAAGCAAAATAATTGGAGGAATATGGGATGGATTTTCTTTTGTCTAGTGTTTTCTGTGTGTGAAGGCACACACAGCCTCCTCTTTTATAAAGTCAGTTCATCCAGAACCATGTTTCAAGCTCCTGAGGCTTCAAGTAAGATGTGCTACAGGTGAAACCAAGCCCCAAAGAGCTCAACAGCTCTGCAAGGGACCGTGCAGCCTGTTGGTATGCCAACGTTTCCAACGCTCCGAGCGGCAATTACCTTGTTTACAGTCTGTACTGAATATGCATTTCTCCTATCTCTATAACCCTTTTTTTACACTGGTATGCAGAAAGATTTTTAAGTTCTTAATGAACACCTGATCCTAAAGTTTCTGGAAGAAAAAAAGTCATGTGCCTGACAACTCCTGGTGAAATTCTTGTGTTGTTCTTCGGGTCAGTGCCGACTGAGTAAGTCACTGTCAGTATCCAGCAAGGGTAGAGGATCTGATGACTAAAACCCACCCGAGGAGGGCTCAGGGGATACATCCAGCTGCTAAAGCCCCACCTCAGAAACACACGCTGAGTATTTTTAAATCCCTGGAACACACAGATCCTATGTTTTCTGTCAACTGTTTCCTACAGACAGCCCGTGCTCCATAAATGCATAATACCTAGCAACAACTTCTAGTTTCAGACTGGATCTTTTCTATCTCTTGCATATTAAGTATTTTTATTCACTGTATCTGATGCAACTGCTCTAAAAAGAAACACAGAGATGGGAGCCAAACCAAGACTTCTCTTTATTTAAACTAGAGTCAAACATTTGAACAACTACCTGGTAAAGGTCCCGTGGGAGTCTTGTCCTTTTCCTAGACGACCGCAGCGATGACAACGAAATGCCCACTGTAGAATCCAAAATAATGCTGGGTTACCATGACCATAATCTCTTCAGTATCAGGGAAAGTCTTCAAGTAAACGATCTGTGAAAAAAACACAGTGATAAAGAATTGCACAGACATTACCATAAGGATTGCCTCTAAATGACACGCACAGACAGCTGCCAAAATATTTGCTAGTGCTGCGTAAAGGCAGGAGCAGCACAGGTACAAGCAAAATGGAACAGGCACAAGGTTTTAAAGTTGGTAGCCAGCGTGGAAATGCTGCTCATCCATTTGTGGGGATTGTTATAGATCACAAAACTCTGCCACACAAAAATAACCCAGCGTTGGAGGGGTGTGTGCCTTATTTCTTCAAAGCTGCAGGAAAAAAGAGCAAGGGAAAATTTTTGGCAAAAACTCTAATGTGAATCAGAGGGAGAAGGAACAACTTCCAAATGAGTGGAATTTTCCTCACTGTAACAATGGCCATTGTTCGATGTTGGGACAAAAGCAATTCCTCCTGGGAGTATTTACTAACACATTAGAAAATGGGAAGGCAACAGGGAAACACCTCTCTGGCCACCTCCTAACCAACAGCGTGGAGACCAAAAGCTCTCCAGCTCATTACCAACACCCCAAACATCCAGCCAATCTGACTTTTAATTGGGGTTTTTTTGTGCCCATCATGGAAACCAAGAAAGCAAAGCAAATCACAATTCACAGCTCGGGCTGTTGGTTTTGAAGCTCTTTGTGACAAGGTGCCAAACTCAAGTTCCTTGGTCCCTCCTCATAGAGCAGCTGAAGCCAGCAGAACTCCCCCACTAATTAGTCTCAAGACTAATGGGCTATTTGTGCTCAGAATTAATGGAAACATGGTTGTCTCTGCAATGGAGGCAGACACCAACACACCCCCACAAAGATTAGTGCCAAAGGGAAATTTTAGATGGGGATTTTGGGGCTGATTGGCACAGAAATGTGTTCCCTGAGCAGTGAAGCGTGGGTTTCGGTTCCACCTGAGAGACCCGAGCTTATCCACCATGGACAGATAAAAGCGTGGGCCAAATCACAGAATCATAGAATAGAATCATGGAATGGTTTGGGCTGGAAGGGACCTTAAAGATCATCTAGTCCCACTCCCTGCCCAGGGCAGGGCCCCCTTCCCCCAGCCCAGGGGGCTCCCAGCCCCGTCCAACCTGGCCTTGAACCCTTCCAGGGAGGGGGCACCCACAGCTGCTCTGGGCACCCTGGGCCAGCGCCTCCCCACCCCCAGGGAACAATTTCTGCCTTAGATCTAGTCTGAATCCACCCTTTTTTAGTTGAAAACCATTCCCCTTTGTCCTAAACATGAGAGGAAAACTGGGGAGGCAAAGGTGCTTGGCGGGGGGTTGACTGTGAGGCAGCCCCTGGATTTCAAACTCCGGTGATGCTTTGAGGTCTGAACCCATTCAGTTGGCCACCAAAAGTCCAGTTCTGCCCCAGCATCACCTCCACCCCACGGAGAACGGGGGAGAAGCAGCCCCCAGTTACCTTCTGCCTTCCCAGCTGCGTGCAAACCAGCCAGAGAAGGTGGGATGTGAGGTGTCTGGTGGCACGGGTGCGGCGGTAACGAGGTGAGAGAAAAGGTGGGATGGGGGGGTGTAAGAATGGGCAGAATAACAGAGAAAATGGGGAGTGCCGTGGGCAGCCGTGCCCACCGCCTGGCTTGCTGGGGATAAGGGCAAAAGGAAGGTGGCCTGAGGGGGACTGGGGGGACAGGGAAAGGGTCATCCGTGTTTTAACAGACGGGGGGTTGGAGGTGTTGGGGAGACAAGGTCCTGAGGGGCGGCGAGAGGGAGAGCGAGGACTGTGGAGACATCACCTGAGGGGGGGCTGGAGGAAGAGGAGGAAGCCTGGAGGGGGACGGGGCCTGGAGGAAGAGGATGAAGCCTGGAGGGGGACGGGGGTTGGAGGAAGAGGATGAGGGGGATGGGAGCTGGAGGAGAGAAATGGGGGCTGGAGGAAGGGGACAAAGCCTGGGGATGATGGGGACAAGGGCTGGAGGAGGGAGACAGGGGCTGGAAGAAGAGGATGAAGCCAGGAGATGATGGGGATGTAGCCTGGAAGAGGGAGATGGGGGCTGGAAAAGGGAGGCGGGGGCTGGAAGAGGGAGGCGGGGGCTGGAGGAAGAGAACCAAGCCTAGAGGGGGGACGGGGGCTGGAGGAAGAGGATGAAGCCTGGGGATGATGGGGACGAGGGCTGGAGGAGGGAAATGGGGGCTGGAGGAAGGGGACGAAGCCTGGGGATGATGGGGACAAGGGCTGGAGGAGGGAGACAGGATGAAGCCTAGGGATGAGGGGGACAGGGGCTGGAAGAAGAGGATGAAGCCAGGAGATGATGGGGATGTAGCCTGGAAGAGGGAGATGGGGGGCTGGAAGAGGGAGGCGGGGGCTGGAGGAAGAGAACCAAGCCTAGAGGGGGACGGGGGCTGGAGGAAGAGGATGAAGCCTGGGGATGATGGGGACGAGGGCTGGAGAAGGGAAATGGGGGCTGGAGGAAGGGGACGAAGCCTGGAGATGACGGGGGGCAAGGGCTGGAGGAAGAGGACGAAGCCAGGAGATGATGGGGACGGTGGCTGGAGGAGGGAGATGGGCGCTGGAGGAAGAGGATGAGGGGGCCGGGCCTGGAGAGAGACGGGGGCTGGAGGAAGGGGACGGAGCTCGGGGATGAGGGGGCCGGGGGCTGGAGGAAGGAGGGGCCGAGCCCCGCGGGGCTGATGCGGGCTGCGGAGAACCACACTGCCGGGCGAGGCGGGGGCCGGCCAGGCCCTGAGGAGGGGGTGGACCCCCGGGGCCGCCCCGCACCTACCTCCGCCTCCGCGGGGCGCCGTTGCCATGGCACCCGTCTCTTCCGGCCGCTCCCGGAAGTGGAGGAAGGCGGAAGTGAAGGGAGGGGAGAGGGGGGAGAGGCCGCGCTACGGCGGCCGGGCGGGGACAAGGCGCGGGGGAGGCGAAGCGCGGGCGGGGAGCGGCCGGGAAGATGCTGGAGACGGCGGCGGCCGCCGAACCGGAGCTGGACCCCGAGGATTTGGTGCATTTCTCGGTGGGCGATTTGCCCAGCCGCGGTTACGGCGTGATGGGGGAGATCCGGCGGCAGGGCAAGCTCTGCGACGTGACCCTCAAGGTGCGGCCCGGCCCCTGAGGGAGGGGGGGGACCCCCCCCCCCCCCCCCAGGTCTCTGAGGGGGAGCTGAGGGACCCGGCCGGTCTCTGAGGGAATCCCCCCGCCCCGGTCATTTTGTTGGGGAGAAGGAGGCAGCTGGGGTCCCCTCAGGTGTCTTTGGTGGGGAGTGAGGGGGAGCTGAGGGTCCCTTTGGTGGGGGGTGAGAGGGGGGCTGAGGACACCCCACCCAGCCCCTTGGGTGGGGAGAAGGGGGAGCTGAGGGTGTCGCCCCCCACACACACTTCCCGTGGCTTTTGGGAGCGGAGAAGGTTGGTGCTGAGACACAACCACCCCCAACCCCCTTGGTGGGGTATCAGGGGGTGTTGGGCCTCCCCAGCCCTGGGGAAGGGGCTCTGTGAGGGCCCCTTGGGGGGGGGGGGGGGGAAGGGGGGTGCTGAGCACCCCCAGCCCAGGCTGGGACGTGCTGATGACACCCCAGCCCTGGTGCTGTGCCTCACCCCGGGCACCGAGAGCCAGATGGAGCCGTTGTGGTTTTTTCCGTCAGCCAGGCAGGACGGTTCAAGAAAATGTTTTGGGAGCAAACGGCATACCCCAGACCCCCCCCTGCATTTCGGTGGCAGTCCCAGCACTGAGGAGTGGTTTGGGAGGTCACTCTGTGGATGGGGTTGATGCATGTTTACGGACCAACCTCTGCTCCAACCTGTGGGAGAAGAGTTCTTTTCCCTAGGAAACCTTTATCTTTTAAGAACAGCCATTCTCTTACATCAAAGAAATAATCTATAATCTTGGTAAATCCTCAGGATTGTGTGCCTGGCTCAGCGGGGCTGGGCTGGAAGGGTTTTGAGAGTGGCCAGCACTGAGCAGGAGATGCTGGAATCCTTCAGACCAGGAGCTCACGGGCAGAGGAGTTTGTTGTGAAGTGGGTGTGACGTGCAACTCCTAGGTTTGGTTGAGTCATTCCAGAATTAACTCTGAAGTTTAATTAAACATGAAGGTGTTTCCCAGCCTACTCATGCTGAAACTTTTCACCTACCTCCTGCTGCTGAAGAAGGAGCTGGTGAGGGTTGTGCCTGTTGTGGAGACCACGGGGTGCGTGATTGGGGTGCACCCCTGGGCTACGTGGGGCTGCTTCGTCCCCGTAGATCAGCTGTAGCCTCCCAGAAAGAGGGCAGGCTGAAATGCTTGTTGCGAAGAGCACAGCCGTGCGCTGATCCTCCTTGGCAGAGGTTGTTACCTTCCAAGACGTGGTATCTGCGATAGGTTGTGCCGTAACCTGAGGGAATTCTGTGGCAAAACTGATTTGTGGTGGGGAGAGCCATTTGATTAGAGTTAAACTTTGTAGTACCGAGGTGGCTTTGTGTTGCAGGAGATGCTCAGGTCCTGCGAGTCCCACGTCTCCAGAATCATGGTAGTGAGCCCGCTGTGGGTCCTTTCCCTGGGGCTGGGCTGCTCTGCGTGATCCGGAGGGAGACAACAACGACGAGGCGTGTGATCCTGGCCTTATCTCAAATAAATGCCAGACCGTTGTCCTGCAAAACTCTGCTGAACAAGTTTCCATTCCTGGTGATTGACCATAGCGAAGTGCTTTTAAAATGTCTCACTTGGTATATCTTCTGTGACAGAGTGGGAAAAGCTTTTGAAAGTCTTGAGGGCTGGAGGAGGTCTCCAGTCCAGCTGGCAGAATGAGCACCCTGATGGTGCTGGGCACCTTTATGGATGAGGGCACCGTGTTGGTGCTGCTCCCTCTTTGTCCTTTTATTAGATTTTGTTCCAGGGACTGTTGCTATCTGGGGAAGTTGCGGAGCCTTTCATCCCTACAAAGGTTTAAAATCTATTAAGTAAGATGTCTGTGTTGCTCTTAAAACGAATCTTAGCTTTCTCTGCTGCCCGCTTAATGCTTTATTATACTGAAGAGAGATCCCAACAAGGACTGATACGTTTGGCAGAGGTCTGACAGTGTGTTTCAATGTTGGTTCAAACAGTCCAGCTTTCCCTCATCCTCATGCAGCCTCAGAATCCAAAGTGCTTCGTTTGATTTCTCTCGTATTGAGTCGTCATGTCAGAATATCCCACCTCTTTGCTGCTTCTGCCTCTTGACGGCAGATTTCTCGCATGTCCCGTGGCGATTGAATTAATGCAGCCTGCTGAATCCAAGCCAAGCCTTTCCTCCCTGTTGTTCAGTACAGGGTGTCTTCTCTAGCTGCTGAATGTTTAAGAAGCAATTTTTCTTAGCTCGGCTTTGGAGGTGGCTTTCAATCAGTTACCCACCTCGAACAGCACTGACGCAAAGCGTGCTCTTCCCTGACCTTGCTCAGGAACGCTTCCGGCATGCGTTGGTGAAGCTGTAAATCCAGTGTGATGCAGAAGGAGCCTGCAAAGTGAGTTGTCTAGCAAGGATGATGGTTGAATACTTCCTACCCAAAATGAAGGTAGGAAAAGCACTGAGTAGCATTTGAAGTCAATACCTGAAGGAAACCAGTGGTGCAACACGGATCAGGACCCACTAAGAAGTCAGCTGGTTGACCTTTTTTTTTCTTTTTTTTTTTTTGTTAATCCTAGTACTCTTAGGCTGTCGCATCAATAAAGTAAAGCTGCCAAACACTGCTTTGGGCCAGAAGTTGGATTTGGATTCCTCCCGATGTGACCAGCGTTCGAGCTGGCTGCTGAAGCAGGAGCAAGCCGCGTTGTTGCAGCACAGTTCAGGATTTAGTGGCCTCTTTACCGATATCAGCATTGGGGTCAATGGCTGTAAATGATTCTCCCAGCCCACAGGAGTGTTTGCTGTACAAACAGGCCTAAAATTGTTAGGAAGTGTTGGTACTCTCGTTTGTTTGTTTTAATTATTCCCCTCGTAAAGCCAGGCGAGCATTCATTCAGTAAATAGGAAGGGCAGAATTTGTTCTCCTTTCTCAGAAACCGTCTCGCTGCAGCTCGCGCCGCTCTGCGGGAGATGGTGCTGCCTCAGCAGCGTACAGCAGCTGGGTTTAAACGCGATTAAGAGCAAGAAGTGCTGATTTGACTGGCTCCCATGGAGCTCCGATTATTCAGACTCAGCTTAGGGAAATCTGTCACTGCTTCTCGTGTTTGCCCATGTGAAAACAAAGTTTCACCGGGCAGCGAGCGAGCGGTGCGTCTTTCCAGCAGCTTATGATGTGTTTGTCAAGAGCCAAAGCTCCTTTCCTGCGTGAATGGCCGAGGCTACAGATTTGAAAAGTCCTTTTATATTCCTGTCTCTTAAATAGCTGAAGGTCGGAGCTCCTCTTGAAGATGTTCCATCACAGGCATCTGTCTTTTCAGTCTCCCTTTGGCAGCTCTCTGAAGTGTTCACTTAAAGAATAATTTTTAGGATGGTTTGGTAGAAACAAATGTGAATAAACTGGAGGGAGGAGGGAATGCAAGGCAAGGAGGCACACCTTATCCTGTGGTTAGTTCATTTTCCTTTGGTGAAAGTAGGATTTTTGCGTACTAAAGGCAAATTTCTGCTGTTGCTCTCTTCTCAGGACCACTAGATTGTGTCTCAGCGTGGCCTTGTCTGGTTAAAAATCCAAAAAAACAACCTGTTTGCCAGTTTGACCTGACCAGGGTCATATTATGGAAAAATCTTCCAGGTGAGACTTGTGTTCCTCTCCTCATCCAGTATCGGTGGTGTTGGCAAAGCTGATGGTGGTTGTGTCTGTGACGGGGAAACACCAAGCCTGGAGCAATCGTCAAGCATGCAGAAAGGAAACTTCTTGGCTTTTTTTTTTTTTTGAGTTTGGTGGGTTTTGAGGCTTTTAGCTGCAAATATGGATGTGTCAAGCGCTGTGAAGACTGGTAGATTCATTTCAAATGTAGTTTTCAGTTTTGATCTATACGCTTCGAGGTGTGATAGTAGGCTCTGAAATCAGGGCGTCCAGCAAAACCAGCAGAGAAGCAGCAGTTCTCCACACACCTCTCCACACCCTGCATCTGGGGCAAAACTGGGGTTTCCAGTGATGGACTGAAGCTTGAATTGTCCGGATTTCTCAGGCTTGAAATGGGCTGTGAGTGGCAAAGTTGATATACCTGCTGGGGACGGGTTCAATTTTAATGTGCTTGAAGTCTCTGGCCATGAAGAAGAACCTCCCGTGGGTCAGATGTTCTTGCAGTTACTGACAGCTGGGTTTTTCAGATGAAGTCGGTGAGGTTTGATTTCTGCCCTTTCCTGTTTTCCCCCCCCAGAAACTGGATATAAAGCAATTTCTTCCAGGCTGTCTTCACGTTAGGAGACTTTTGGGTTGTTTTCTGGCTGCCTTGTTGGCAGTGCTGTCATGTTCCCGTCCAGGCATTACTCTGCTTTTCCCCGGAGCTCTTGCTTCCCAAGAGCATTTCACCCTTAGCATCGCTGTCTGTCTAAACATGAGCTGAGAGTCTTCAGTTATTGCTACTACCAGCACTGCCGTTGGTTGTACTTTATTGGTAGAAATTAATTAGCTGCTTACTGAGCATACTGGATGAGAAAAGCTCCGCATTAAAGGTTTGGGCCCTCATTGCTTTGGTTTCCTGCATGCAATACCACGGCAGAACCTTTCCCACTTATTTTAGAGTGGATTCGCAGTCTTTTTCATTATGTGTGTGCATTCCCAAAGCATTTTGGAGCTCACCAATAAACGCTGCTAAAGCACGAAGCATTTCAGTTCGCTGACGAGTGCGGGTATTCGGGGGTGTTAGTCCCTGGTCTGGAGATCCTGGTTTGCTTTTTAATTACAGAAAAGAAGCTACTCGGTATTTGTGCTCTTCCTGAGCATTGTTTTTTGAAGATAAATATCCTCTCGAGATGAAAGCTGCCTGGGCAGCTTTGTTTTCTGGAGTTTGTGTCTGTGCTTTAGGCCAAGGTACAAGTGCTCTCTGGGGACACAGCAGCAGCTTGCTGGAAGCCTGTGGGCTGCACCGCTCCATGAAACGGGGAAGCAATACTAGTCCTGTTTCTTCATTGATAAATTTTAGGTGTTCATAGCTCCTGCTCGCTGAGATGGGAGCCAGAGGAGAACTGAGTGCCAGGCTGGCACCTCCAGCGATCTTGGCTAAACCTCTGCCAAAAGAGAGGAGGTTTGTGCCATTCTGACTCCTCGAAGAGCAAAGTTGTTGTGAGCTCCTCTTGCTGTTGCTGCTCCTCGTTTGGTTGTGAATCGCTCGAATGCCGTGTTTCCATGCCTAACTCCAAGACTTCTCATTAGAAAAATCTCTTAAAAAATAACTCAAGCCTGGCAAGTTAAAATACTTCCAAGCCGCAGAGGGGTTATATTATCTGTTTCATGTACAATCTGAGTCGGTCTGGCGGGGGATAGCCCTGCTGGTTTATCCTCCCCTTCTAATCACAGTTTTTTTCCGAAGCAAACTGTTCACTTGAAACCCCCCCCCCCCCCCAAACTCGAGCAGATGCCCCCGGGAGAGCTGCTGCCTGTCCAGCAGGCACAGAGGTGGAGGAGCCTCCCTTTGTCCCGCCGTGGCAGAAAAGTGGAATTCCAGACAGCTTAGGCTGCGTGAGTAATTTCAGCAGGATCCTTGAAAACCCTGTGCCTGGCTGCTCTGCAGATGTTTGAGCACGTGTGTGAGATCCTCAAGGAAGATGAGCTTGGTAGGAGAGAGACTATCTTTTTATTTGAGGAGCTGGTGGATTTATGAAACAGATGATGTGTTATGCACGTGAGACCTTTAGGTTAAGGATCTTATTTAAAATCTTGTCATACAGCAGTAGCGAGCTACTTTGGATTGTGACTGTTCTTGTTTTTTCACTGGAGCTCCCAGCTAGCGTCAGCGCTCTTCCCCTTATATAAAAGACAAGTATTTTTAGTGCTCGATGAAGACGTTAAACCTGAAGTGTTAGCAGAAATCCCACATTTCTGCACTAAACCTTTTACTCTGTTTCTTTGAGCGTGGCAGAAAAGGCTTTACTGTGTGACTTCCAAACCCCCTTTTGTTTGCTTTCCTTTAAGCAAGCGTTGTCCTACAGCTTCAGGTGGGCTCCGGTGACCTGGGTGTTTAAACTGGTGCCTGGCAGGGGCACTGGCAGATATTTCTTGCCCAGTTAGGAGTGGGATGCAACGGGATGAGTTAAGAGCAGAGGCTGGGTGTTCTCTGTGTTGGAGTATAGGGGAGATTTGGGGTTGCTGTTGTGAAGAGGTTGGGGGGAACGTGGCTGGAGGGGCCCTCAACTGTTGGGTTAGACTCAAGCTTGGTTTTGCCGGTCCTTCGGGAGTGTGAAGGAGGGCAGGGCTGGAGGTGATCCCCTCGGGACGCTCCCTGTCCCCGTGGGAAACGGAGGAACTGGGGTCCAGCAAAGCAATTCGGCTTCTCCAAACTGGAAGTGAATTATCTGGGAACGTGCGTTCGTCGGACATGCAAAAGGGATGTCTTTTCTGGTTCAGAGCAATCAGTTACCATTATATCAGCAGGACTCTAATTAGTCTAGACCAGAGGGATGTCAGACTTAACGGCATCAATCACTTGGTGTTGCACACACCAAGTTTGATCTAAACTCTGTCACATCTCGTCCAGCTACTATTTGGGTGCGAAAGGGTGGGTGGGGAGGAAAGGTATTTATTTCAACGCCAGAATTTTGATTCAAGATCCCTTAAACTTTACTGTTCCTTTATCTTCTGCGGAGCAAAACGTTGCTGCGATAGCTTGGACACTAACCTGATTTCTACTATGGCCTCTCTGTGACCCAAATGCCAATGTCATGTCAGGAAAGATGTATTTTTTTTGAGATGATCTTTGCAGCAGAGAACTTGAGACTTTTTAGCGATGCAGGTTAATGATGTCATGAAAGCAGTAGATGCCTTTATTACACCTACACCCGTTTTTCTGTGAAGAAAGCTTCATTGTACCCTGGAACCTGTTAACATTTTGTGGATGTGGGAGTGTAAGGGAGAGCATGCCTTTTATTACCTGGTTAGGAACGTGTTGAAAGGGAATTCTCTGATATTTGTGGTCAGGAAGGATGCTTTGCAAGCAGTGCAAACAGTATTTTTTGCCTTAAAAGGAAGGCACCTAGAATTATGTATTGTAAAATAGCACATCCTTGCGTAGAGGGGGAAATCTCCTGAAAAGTAAGGTGTTTTGCTCAGGTAGTGAAAGGGATGACAGTCCTGCCTGATGGACTTATCCCCAAGCCTTTTCCCAGTGAGGAGTTCTTGGGTCACTTCTCTTTTTGGTGCTTATATAAATAGCTAATTCTGGTTTAATGCTGTAGATGTGATTAAGACTGTGGTGATTTCATTTGTGCCTGGAGACAGTCCTGAACTCCAGGCTCAAAACCAAAAATAAGGTAAATGCACTGATTTATGTTGAACTCCA